ATCAGCGTTGCCCCATGAGATAAGAAGCTGGATCAGACATTTACAGTATGGGTTCTCTGTCTCACTTACTAGTTGTTATAACTTGTTGGATCTCACAGGTTTTTGCAGGGGAGGGATGCAGACATCATTTAATTTCATTCACTATTGTTTGGCAGGAGGGCAGGATATAAAATGGTTTGTTATGTAAAAAGTACCCAACATCTTCAAAATGGTATACACATGTTGGCCCAAGTTCTGTTGCTTAGTGTAGTAAATTGCACTAGAGTAGGCACATTGCATTAACAGGGATTTGGCAACTCAACCCCTCTGAAAATTCAGTCGATTCAAATGGGTCTAACTTGCAGAGGAGTTGACTCAGCAACTCCTCACTGATTCAGCCGGCTACACTAGTCTGACATGCGACATTAAAAAAAGAACATCAAGCTTTGAAAAGTAGGACAATCTGTCTGAAAGATAAAAAGAAATTACCGCAGTGGGAAACCTGTGGCTGTAGTTTCCATCATCCCCGACCATCAGCTAGCTAGCTATATTGGCTAGGATTGGTAACAACCGCCAGATGTCCACAAGTTTATACCCCTGGTGCATGGAGAAGGTTAACAACACTTTATGGATTGGTGCCTGAGGTTTCTTGTTTTCATCTCTCTTCATCCCTTTCTGCTTTTTTGATGTAAGCCTACAAGGAAGTGCTGTCTTGTTTTTATTAATTATGAGTGAGATGCTCTCAGAGCAATTTAGTTTAAAGAAAAAATGAAATACTCAGAATAAACGTCTTGCTCTGTGGTAATTAGCTGGTGATTGGGTTTAGTTTTGTAGTAAGAAGAGCTTTGCTGCTTTCAACCTGCCTATCTTTTTTGGGTCACGTTGATTGGCTGTGTATCAGGTTTTTATCCTGTCCCACTCCTAAGAGTTTAGGGTGTCCAGGTGATATACATGGTTTACTCTTTATTCTTCATCATAACAGTCTATATGTTATGGTAGAGTGGCTTAAGGTCACTTAGTAAGCATTGTCTCTGAGGAGGGAGATGAATATTACTGTCTTCACTCATGTCAGCACTTTAAATTAGGAGTAGAGAATCTGTGTCCTTCTAGATGTTCTTGGACTGCAACTCCCAGTTAGCTTTAGTTGGTTTTGCTAATAGTGAGGGATGACAGGATTTGCAGTCCAACAGCATCTGGAGACACCCATGTTGTCCATCCCTATTACTCGCTAGTACCATTGAGTCTTGTTATCTCTTCAAGAGTGCTCTTTTCCTTTCATCTTAAAATTTCTTTCCTGTCCAAGCTGTATGAGCTTTGCTGTTAGAAACTGATAAACGTATTCTTCCAGAGACACATGCCATGTCTGTTAAGACAGCTTGTAAAGCCTATGATTACATTTGATTACCATACTGGTCAGGGTCTGCAGAAACTCTATATGAAATAAGCAAACATATGTTATCTTTTAATATTGTTGTAAGCTGTCTAGAGTGGTCTTAATCAACTAGATAGGCGGGATATAAATAAAATAAATAAAATAACTAATAACTTTTCACTTTAAAGCTGACATTTCATACATTTTAACCTCCAATTATGTTTTAAGACCTTCAGTTGTAAAGGCCTCCATACCTATAAAGAGAAGCAGCACTCAATAGTCATGTCCACATAATAATTTAATGTATCTTTCCACTCCTCCAAATGAATTTAGAGTATTATATTCATGTCTATACTTTGATTTTACAGATTGTGGGGTGATCATGGACAAGAAGCTTTAGAATCTGCTCATGTTTGTGTGATAAATGCAACTGCCACAGGAACAGAAATCCTCAAAAATTTAGTTCTACCAGGTATAAAAAACCCCCCAAACTATAACTTTATTTAGTGTGAAAATTGTAATCTACTATGAGTGCCATCTTTTTCTTTTGTCTTTAAGGTGTAGGTTCATTTACAATTATAGATGGAAATCAAGTCACCGGTGAAGATATTGGAAATAGGTAATGTGTTTTTTTATGAAGTTGGTGATATTTTCATGAATATTGACACTAAGAACTATAGCAAGGGGAGGGAAAGAAATAAACTAGAATTGGGAAGATGGGCCATCCTTAGCTGTGCAATTCAAGGCTTAAGTGACAAACCACAGTTAACACAGACTATATCTTACCAGGATGTATGAATGTTTTGTAGCTTCATAATCGCTTGGATAAGGTTGAAGTGAAATGAATCTTGCCCCTTAGAAGGTTAAAACAATCTATTTGGTGCAAACTTTGGTAAACTCTAGCCCCTCCAGCAGATAGTGACTTGCAGTCTGCAAAAGCTTATGCTAAATAATTTTTAAGGTGCTACAACACTCCTTGTTATTTTTGTTACTAGAGACTAACATGTGTGTTACTCTTGAACATTTTGAGGCAGACTATATGTGGGATGTGGCACTGCGGGATAAACTGCAGAAGCCTCTGTGCTGCAAGGTCAGAAGACCAATAGTTGTAAGATCGAATGCACGCAACGAAGTGAGCTCCCATCGCTTGTCCCAGCTCCTGCCAACCTAGCAGTTTGAAAGCGTGTAAAAATGCAAGTAGATAAATATGTACCACCACACTGAGAAGGTAACGGTGTTCCATGTCTAGTCACGCTGGCCACGTGACCACGGAAACTTGTCTTCAGACAAACGCTGGCTCTACGGCTTGGAGACGGGGATGAGCACCGCACCCTAGAGTTGGACACGACTGGACTAAATGTCAAGGGGAATCTTTACCTATGTGTCAAATGATTTTCAAGAATCAAAAATAACAATTAAAAAGTCTTAATGAATCTAGAAATGTTGCTGTATGAGAGAGGAAATGTGGATAGAATACTGTTACTGGGTTGTATTTCATATAATATATAAAATAATGTAAATACATAATAATATATTGTATATAATAACAATAATATATAAAAATATATGTCTGAATATTTTTTGTATTTTTGCAGTTCAGTTCCCAGAATTCTCTCAAGAATTCCAGGATTTAGAGCCAAGAAACAAAAATCAGCACACCTGGTGCCGCCCTCCCTGGGTTTTCAAGCAATTTATCTCAAAAGGCTACTCCAGCTTTCCTCTGGAACAGGTTTCCTCTGTTTCTTGTGGTTGATTTGTAGAAGAAGAAGTTGTTGTTGCTTCCTGGTAGATATTGTCTCACTGAGCATTAGACTCTGTAGAAAATACCTTCCAAAAAACCCGAGCCTACTAGGAAGCACTGCAGTAGCTGCGGTGGGGTGGGGTGGGGGAATGAAGCCTATACCTGTGCTGATTTTTGTTTCTGAGCTAGAATTCTGGGAATTGAAGTCTGAAAAATCCCATCCTTTTAAATGTATATAACATATTTCAACTGACTGAAAATGTGAAGGAATTGTTTCTGTTTTCTAGTTTTTTCCTGCAAAAAAGCAATATTGGCCAGGTAAGGAAATATTAGATGTTATTGAAAAATATGATCATATTCATAGAAATACATAAAAATACATATACATACATATAAATACATGTTAGCCTCCCAGAGTAGTGCCTTGGCACAAGATGGGCAGGGTATAAATGTAATGAGTAAAACAAAATAAATAAAATAAAAACACTTCTTTTCTTTCATAGTAAAAGCATATATTTCGTACAGCATCTGAGATTAATGATGCAGTCCTATACAGGTCTACTCATTCTTCAGACACATTAAGTTCAAGGGGCTTTATTTCTGTCCAATCTAAATAGATCAATCACTGTAATATGGCTTCAGTGTAAATAAGCAGTTGCATCTTATGTAATTGCAAGTGAAAACTTCACAGATCTATTCAGATGCATAGAATGGTGAACTGGGGCAGATTTCTTGAATATGTGCTAACAAGAGGAAAAGGGAAAGCTCCAAATCAAGAATCAATGCAGTTTTGGAGAAGAGGAAAATAAAAGAAGAAGAAGAAGAAAGATAGAGCATTACTGCAAGAGGTCCCAACTAGAGTGTTGGGAGGACAATAAAAGAAGAAGAAGAAGAAAGACTGAGCATTACTGCAAGAGGTCCCAACTAGGGTGGTGGGGAGCACAGTCTATTTATGTTTTATGTTGTAGTTTAAGAAAAAAAAAAGAATGTTGAATTCTGAGTTTTTCATTAAAATTAACTTCTATGCACTGCACTTTTGGCTTTTAGCATGTGCATGCTAGGGTGTTCTTCATAACATAATATATTTTCCCCTTCTGACAAGGAGCCTTATGGTGCAGTAGTTAAACTGCAGTACTGCAGCCAAAACTCTGCTCACCACCCAGGTTCAATCACAGGAAGTTGGCTTGACGTAGACTCGGTTCAATCACAGGAAGTTGGCTTGACGTACAAGCCTTCTGACTTTCCAAGGTTGGTAAATTGAGTACCCAGTTTCTGGATGAGAAGGGTGGGCCATATGTAGCCTGAATAATTAAATTGTAAACTACCCAGAAACTGCTTTAAGCGCTGTGGTGCGGTACCTAAGCAGCATACTTTGTTGTTTTTTTTTGTTTTTTTTTGATAATGCTAGTAATAATTACATGTCACAAGTCAATTCTGACTTATGGTGACTCTTTCAGTGGTTTTCTAAGTATAGAGTACTGTACTCAGTAGTGGTTTACCCTTCCCTTCTTCTGGGGGTAGTCTGGGATTGGAAAGGATACACAGGCTGGTTCTTCTCCTAGTAGATACAGTGGGGAATTGAAATCCTAAACTCTGACTTCACAGCCAGATATCTCACTAAGGTCTCCAACTGTTAAATGATAATGCATGTGCCTGTGTTCATGGATGACATTTCTTTATGCACAATTTTTCTCCCTAAAACCTATAGGAGCTTCTGTTCTCACATTCCTTGCTTTTAGCCCAAAACATGATATATCACCCTAAATCAGTCTGTGTTTTATGTTTTCAATTTAGAAGATACCACCCTTCTTAAGAGTCCATGGGGCTCCTCCTCTTCTTTATTATGACAATTCCATTTGAGTTTTTCATAAAAAGTAAGCTATCTTAAATGGCATAAAAACAAAACTGAGTTTAGAACTAGACGATGCAGCACAATTTTGGGACTATTTTCACAGGTGTAATCAGCAGTGTTTACTTCCAGTTAACTGTACATTTCTCTGATTATTTTTAAATAGAATCGGGCCCAGTGTGCAACTGAACAGTTGCAAGAACTGAACAATGATGTCTCAGGAAACTTTGTGGAAGAGGTTTGTGTCAAATACATGTATATATGTAAGCATGTCAGCCTGTTACAAAAAGTATAAGAGTCAACATCGATCCCTACGCTAGTAACCTATTTCTAGAATATTGCATCGCTGACTCCCAGTGCAGGCTGTTTTCACCACCAGTTGAAAACTTGCTTGTTTGTAATTTTTCTGCTAACAAAAATAGCCAATTACTGCAGTGATTTTAAAAGTTTAGTGAAGCATCTTACTGTTTTATCATTGTGTCATTTATTATTTTATTTAAAGAATTTAAATATTGAAATAGTATGAATTGTGTTAGGATTTTTAGCATGCAAAACAATGAAGAAATAATTTAATAAAATAGTAATAGGAAAAAACAAAGAAACAATTATTTGACTAGCTAGCTGTACTATAGTATCTTTTTTCTTCTTCCCAATCCATCGTGAAGACAGACTGCCCTATCATGTCATTACTTCATAATGTCAACAGTTACTCCTGTCATTATTTTACTGTACAGCACAGTATGTACTGTGTTAATTGACACTGCAAGTTAATGTGCATTCATTGCAACAGTAAGCAGTTGTCAATGAAATTTTAAAAGGGGGGAGGAAGTGTGCCTACGAGGAGAAGAGCCACCTCAAATGTCATGATCACACTTCATACTATTTATCAAATTTCATCAAAGCTGATAGAGCACATTCTTTGTTGAAGAGTCTTCATTGATATATGGCAGGGGATGTTTCACAGTTAATATGACCTTGTTTGTAGATACAAACGGAGGGAAAGTTTGCATTCAGATTATTTCCGTTTTTGTACATAAGTCTGCAGTTCATGAAGAATTCTGTTACACTCAACCTCATTAGTTGAAGAAACACTAACTTTTAATCTATTTGTGTTTTCTGCTCTGATATGCTTTCTCAAGAATCCCGATAAACTTCTAGACAATGATCCTTCATTCTTTTGTCGGTTTAATGCAGTGATTGCAACTCAGCTCCCAGAGAGGTAAGTGGGAACTGATTTTCATGTTATTGTTTTCATTATAATAAAAAATAAGTTTTATTTTAAGGTGTATTCTGTGAAACTTGTCAGTTATGGGTGGGATAGTATTTCATTTTTGTTTTTAACCTTTGATGATTGTAGTCAATCGGTTTTCCTTTTTGACAAGAACACTATTTTAACATGTTGTGTTCTTGCCCAGTTCAGGCATGGGAAGCCTTTGGCCTGGCAAATATTTTGGATGATGGCTCATTTAATCTCTTGCCATTTATCTCTTCTGAGTGAGAGTTTGGGGAATTGAAATCCAAAATTTCTAGGGTGACAGAAGTTCCTTTCTGACTCTTGCCATGGTAGTGTGATCAAGAAAATGTACTGCTTAGTTTGAAGTTGACTGCAAAAGCAACGGATCTAAAACACAGAGGTTCCTTTAGCTGGGGAAGCTCTTCATGTATGCTAGAACCTTGATTTTCCCACCACTGGGCTCATGTGGAGAGCTCTCTTGGGTCGAAGAAGGTCTCTTTTGGCTTGTTGCCTTTCATAACCACAACATGACAGAGGAGATAGGCATTTCCCCTTCTTTGTGTATTAAATAAATGTATAAAACACACCTGAATAGAGCTTTGGAACCTGTCCTGGGAACTCAGGTAAAGGAGTAGAGCAGTCATTGTAAAAGAGTAGAGATAGAATATGCAGGTGAGCAATGATGATCTAAAAATACGTTTTAGAGCAAAATGGCTGGGCTGGTGGTGGAGCTGAAGATTTGTTTCAACTGTAGTTTTCTGCTTTAAATACATTTTGCCACCTTCCATCATACATACATATGTACAGTGGTGCCTCACACAACAATGTTAATTGGTTCCGAAAAAATCAACGTTGTGTGAAACATCGTTTTGTGAAACACCATTTCCCATAGTGTTTTCTCCATTGGAAACCATTAGACAGACCATCCAGTGGTTTCCAATGGAGAAAATTCAAAAAATCATCATAAATTAACGAAGTGTCAGAACAACACCAAAATCAGTTTGCGTAGGTTTCAAGAGGTGGGCTAACCATTGCAATCATTTAAAACAGCTTCCAAACATTGTAAGACACTTTTACAGGAGCGAAAAGGGAGATCGTTGTGTGAAAATCCCCCATAGGAAACATCGTTGTGTGAGGCGGCAAATTTAACAGAAAAACGTTGTGTTGTGTGAATTCATCGTTGTGTGAGGCACCCGTTGTGCGAGGCACCACTGTACTACTTTGCAGCGGTGAAGCAGCAAGCTACATTCCCAGTTATCCACTTGTCATCATATGGGGCAAACTTAACATCGCTATGTGAGGCACCACTGTACTACCTTGCAGCGGTGAAGCAGCAAGCTACATTCCCAGTTATCCACTTGTCATCATATGCCATGGGGCAAACTATACAAGATGCAAGCTTTGCATTTAGAAAATGAAAAACATGTTCCCTCCAGAGGTAGATTTCTTCAAGCTGCTGTTTCTGTACAATTAATTTTCAAACGAAGCCTGTTTTTTTTACTTCATGATGACCAATTATCAAGCAAAACCAATTAATTTACAACTTAGGGAGCTGCAAAAAGCCATGTTAGGATAATCAAAATCCTGTACCTCTCAAGGAAGCTCTGCTTCTGATTAGAGAGCTGGCCTCCCATCTGACCTTTACTTTTATCTTCATCAAATTTTTGCCATGTTCCTCCATACATACCATCTTCCATTTTAACCACTGTTAATAAACTTACTAATTTACTGTTTTTATTAGGAATTTGTGAATTGCATTCAGATAATTGGCAAACTCAATTCATCAACTTTATTTTATAATTATTTATTTAAAATATTTTTACCCTTCTTGAAAAGGGCTCAAGGCAGCTTACATCATAAAAAAACATTAAAGCTAATAACAGTAAGTATACAAATACTAGAAAGAGTCAAATACTACACTACAACACAGTAAACAAAAACAATAGCAAAAACACATTCAGAGCCACCAGTAAAGGACCACAATCTGTTTAACAACCCCACTCAGGAAACCCACCACGGAGGGAAAGAATTGGTTCCGTACAGTTACCTGTTTTGTTTTGTTATTTGTAAAATTATGTTCCATCCTCCATCTTGTTTTGGAACAAAGGAAGCAGTTTTCTAGTGGAAGGTGCACTTGGTGTAGCTGCTGTTCTATACTTTCTACTAAGGTATTTCATGATAAAAGAGGAATTCAATCCGAAGATGTTCTGCTTCCACAGCAGATTATGGAAGCATGAGAATGGCCTTTTAAATTTAATTACTGTATAGCACTATGAGAGCATGTGGAATAGTGGTAATGGTGATCTTCCTACCGTTGTCCTTCCTTTGTATCTTACTGTATCTCTGTATTTTTCAGTACATTACTTCGACTAGCTGAAGTTCTCTGGAATTATAATATTCCATTACTAGTTTGTAGGACTTATGGATTAATAGGCTACATGAGAATTGTTATCAAAGAACACCCAGGTAAGAGTGTTTGATAATTTTAAAATCTCCTTTACCTATAAGTTGTAACTTAATAATTTTAGTAGTGAAGTTATGTGTAAGATGACCCTGTTTTAAATTCACATGGCTGGTTTCAATTAAGTATTTTGAATGTACAAATGAGAAAAATATACCTAGAAATAGTTATGATCTGCATACAAATGCACACAATGTTACATTTATTTTGTAGAATGTAAGATAAGAATCTGGTTCCATTTGTAAATTCAGCTTGGCACTACTTCTCATTATATGCCATTTCCCAGTGATATTCCAATGTATGTAACCATTTCAGAATGTAATATCACACAGGTATGAAATGTACAGTTTACAAATTCAGAGACAATTATTTCATGTCATTTTCACTTTTAGTTTGAACTAAAGTTTGTAATGTTTCAATAGTTATAGAATCTCACCCTGATAATGCATTGGATGATTTGAGATTGGACAATCCATTTCCGGAACTGAGGGAGCATGTTCAGTCTTACGATTTGGATAATATGGAAAAAAAGGTTGGTATGAAACTGCAGCTCTGCTTGGCAGAATGCATGCCAGCTTCAGAAACAGTTCACAAATTTATTCTAGAAAAACTGGATTGCAAAAAGATTCCTTAAAACTGAGAAATTTTCCATAGGTCCACCTATTATCTATATAGAACCTGATTTTATTATCCTGAAGGATTTGATGAGTCTCCTGTAAAAATTTGTGTGATAAACCTTGAGTTTATCTAGGAAGCACCTATTACTCCCGTTTCTTCTAGGAAAAATTTCCTGAGCATGCTTTTTTGAACAAAATCCTTTGTTGCAGACTTGCCTTCTCTGTAGATTTCCTATATAACCTCTATATGACCCTTTCATGCAGCAATGCCAGCCCCCCCAAATATGGCTGCACATTAGAGGCTATCAATATACATTATTAATGCAGGATTTGCAAAATCATCTCCACACAGTTAAAAATGGGGATATTGTGTTTCCTTGGATCTGTCACATTAAGGGAATGAATTATACTGCAGACATCTCAGTGACTGCTCTTGAAGGCAATTCTGTTCATTTACCAGTTTTTGTTGGATTCTGAATGTATGTAGTATATTGAGTTTGTACAGCAACACAGCTTCATTGCTTTGGATTTTTCTTTTGCTATACTTTAATTTTGCATTTGCAGGAACACAGCCACATTCCATGGATTGTGATTGTAGCCAAGTATCTAGAAAAATGGTATAATGAGGTATGTGGTGTAATCCTACCTATAACGTGGTGTAATCCTACCTATATTATCAACTTTGTTTACAGAACTCAGAATTATGTATTCCTTTAGAGAATTTTTTGTATGTTTTAGTGCAAAGGCTGTAGCCTTCCACATTGTTAGGCTGCTTAAATTCCACTGGAATCAAGAGTGAATGTTGTATCTAATTAGATTGGGTGTAATGTCAGCTGGATATTTTTGACTGCAAACAAACTTGGGTGTGAGGGTTCAGTAGTTTTCTCCAACTCTTTTTCAAAGAATGCACCCTCTCTCCTTGGTTTAGAAATAAGGGTAACATTTATTGGGGTATTCAACAACAGTCCAGTGTCAACAAAAGCATTCCAAACTTTCTCTCCCTTCGACAACAGGTCTGAAGGGGGGCTAAAGTCGTCCACTTTGAAAGGGTTCTTACCCTGACTATTCCAGGGTCCGGGCCATTCCGGTGGAGTATCAGGGTTCGGGCACCCTCTCTCCTTGGTTTAGAAATAAGGGTAACATTTATTGGGGTATTCAACAACAGTCCAGTGTCAACAAAAGCATTCCAAACTTTCTCTCCCTTCGACAACAGGTCTGAAGGGGGGCTAAAGTCGTCCACTTTGAAAGGGTTCTTACCCTGACTATTCCAGGGTCCGGGCCACTCCGGTGGAGTATCAGGGTTCACTAGTAATCCCTCCTTCCAGTAGGGGGATAGTGTTTTCCTCTCAAACGTCCACCCAGTTATACTCCCTGGGGGGTTCCCCCATCTCCTACGGGACTCCAGGAATTCTTTCTGCTGATTCTCCCAAATTCTCCATTCTAACCTCTCTGTTCTCTTTCCACTCTTTCTCTTTCGTGTCTCAACTTCCTCCTCCATTCCTTAGTTTCTCGCTCACCCCAGTAAGATGGTTTAAGCAGATGCACGGAGGAGGCTTAGTTCACACCTCCTCCGTTTCTCGCTCACCCCAGTAAGATGGTTTAAGTTCACGCCTCCTCCGTGCATCTGCTTCTTCCTTGGGGACACACAGTTTTTCCGTCTTTCCTGTCCATGGATCTTCTACCCAGATCCACTCCCAGCCTACTGGCAACTCTCCTTCTCCCTTTCTTATATACCCCAACCCCGCCTTCACTACTTCCCACCTTCCCCCCCTCCCACGCCTGCCAAGGTAGTTCCGGGTTCTGTAATCATTAGTTGTTTCAAATGTCCCTCCAAATTCCCCGGGTCATGTCCAGGAAGTCTTGTCTTCCGGGGTGAGGGAACTGGTGGGATCTGGCTCTCTTTCCCAGTGGTTGGTGGGAGGAAGGGCACTCCTGAGAGAGGGATCTCTCTCTCCCTCCTTCTTCCATGGGGGCTGAGATACTCATATTCAGGTAATGGAAGTTCTGTACATACTTCCTGCATCCCTGCTCAGACCTTGCTCTGTGCATGCAAATTACTTGTGTTCCAGTTATATCTCTGTGATGGGACAGACAAACACAAAAGCAGATACTGTATTCTGAGGGGTGCTCTGTGTATAGGAACTGTACCCATTAGTAATGATATTTTGCTTTTGTTTTCAGTATAAATTATCTTTGTAAAATGTAAGATCCTGCCTTTGTTTTAAGCTTAATACAGTATTAGTGATGGGTTTTATGCTTTTTATATGTGGTAAGCCAGTTCAGTGTTTTGCTTAAAGCAGAAAAGTGGCTTGTATGTGTGTGTCTAATTAGCTATCTTTCATCTCAATGAGATTGAAAAAAATTTCAGGTTTGGTACAGATTTTGTGATGCTTAGAGTAGACCCATTGGCATCGATGGGGCAAATCAGTCACCACTCACTTGTCCCATTGATTTCAGTGTATCTGTTCTGAGCACGACTAGTCAACTCATTATGCCTAGGCAGTTTATTCTTCTTTGTATATTTATTTAAAGTAATTTTATACTGCTTTTAACTTGTGCCTCAGTGAGAAAAGCTACCAGAGTGGCTTATGCTTAATCAGTGAAAGAGATGTTACTGTTGTGTGGTTAGTCAGAGCCTCATACAAAGTCTAGAATTGCCCCAAATCACAATTTCTGCTATGAATTTCTAAAACACAGATGTAAATCTTGTAGTCCTTGCTGCTTGAACTACTATGTTCACCTGTTTGCTTTTAGTTTGAATTGTTTTTATCAAGTTAAAAGTACATAATTTTTTCCCTTTAGAACAGTGGTCAGATACCTAAGAACTACAAAGAAAAGGAAGCCTTCAGAGAGATGATTAGGCAAGGTAATGTGTGGCTTCATCTATATTATGTTTAAAATCACATGTAAAAGTCATAAAAGTATATATTTTGTTTTAATATGTGCTATTATTAACGTGCTTCATAAATGGAATATTTTGTTTTAATATGTGCTATTATTAAAGTGCTTCAGAGCCAGAGGTTGGGAGTTTGATTTCCCATTATTCGTCCCAGGAGAAGGTCCAGTCTGTGTAGCCTTGGGCAATTTGCACAGCCCAAGGGCAACCCTGGAAGAAGGGAACAGAAAGCACTTCTGAGTACTCTGTACCTAAAAAAATTGTGGAAAGGCTCACATAAGTCTGAATTGATTTGGTGGCTCCCATTTTGTGCCAATTACAAAGTAAATCTATAAAACGATCTACTGACAGATGCAAATATAGTAATCAGAACAATCCCTACCAACACACTGAAGGAAATAAACGAGTTCAGGTATAGCACAGCTACCATAAAAAACATGGAGCGTGGTTACAAGCAGCAAAAAACCAAAAAAACAAAACAAAAAAACCTCCTGGCACTCTAGAATGGAAAGTTTGGCTGGCAGAGAAAGAAACAAATTATGTGCAGATATTAGCAACTGAAAACATTTTAAGATGCAAAAATTAAAATTAAAAAAGTGAAAGCCAGACTATGTGAAATATATGACCTAGAAAGAAAATGTTGAAATTATGGAAGAATTAAAACAATGGGTAACAGCTACAGCAAAGAAAACAAAGACGCAATATAAGAAACAACAATTTGAAAATAAACAGTTGCTTAGAGAGCAGCTGAGAAATATTGATGGAATGCATGATAATAATTCAACAGAGGCATGGCTAAAATTGGGGACCATTAAGAAAGAAATCGAAGGCTTGATTTTTGCTGCACAAGAACAAGCGCTCCAAACCATTGTGTTACAATCTAAGGTCCAAGGAATTAGTGCTAATGGCAAGTGTTGATTCTGCCAAGAAAAAGATCAAACTGTGTCACACCTCATTTGTGAATGTTCAAAGATTGCACAAACAGATTACAAAGTTAGACATGATTAGAGTGGCAAAGTTAATGCACTGGTCATTATGCTAAAATATAAGTTGCCAACCTCCAAAAACTTGTGGGAACATTAGATAGAGGAGGTCAGAAAATTAGGAAGTCAAGGTCTTGTGGGATTTCCAGATCCAAACGGACAGACACCCTGAACATAACACAAAAGACATTGTAGTAATAATGAATAAATGTCTGGATAATTGACACTGCAATTCCAGGGGATGCCAGAGATGAAATGAAGAATTGGAAAATTAACAAAATATGAACATCTGGTAATTGAAACATATTGTGGAACAATATGGAGAAATTTCACACAGTTGCAGATCTCAGAAATAGCACCATTGAACTATATAAAACAGCAATATTCAGAACAGCATACATGTTGTGCTGATATTTAACAGATACTTAGGTTTTTGGTTAAAACTTTTATCTGTTATGTAATACCAGTCAATGTTTTTAGAGTTTTGATTGACTATGCTTGATGTTTATTAATAATAATTCATAATAATAATAATTACTTGGTGGCCAACAACAACTATTATTCAAAAATACAAAACACAGTCTTTGACTTATATATATAGTGGTGCCAATTATTCAAAAATACAAAACACAGTCTTTGCTTATATATACAGTGGTGCCACGCATAGCGACGTTAATCCATTCCGGATTAATCGTCGCTATCTGGAAACATTGCAATGTGGGTGGGAAAACCCCATAGAAACGCATTAAACTTTGTTTAATGCGTTCCTATGGGGCGAAAACTCACAGTTATGCGAAGATCCTACATAGCCCTCAGTAAGCGAGGAAATCACGTGAAAATGGTTGTGGCGGCCATTTTGGAACCGCCGATCAGCTGTTTTAGAAACATCGCAATGTGAAGATCAGTAAGCCGATCATCGCAATGCGATGTTTTTGCCCATTAAAACATCGCAATGCGATCGCATTAGCAATCTCAAAAAATAGATCGCTATGCGGATTCATCATTAAACGGTGCGCTCGTTATGTGAGGCACCACTGTAATGGATATAGGTGTCAACATTGTTTTTGTTACTGTAGTAGCATGTCAGAATTCATTTGGAAGAAACCACATAATGTGCCGAAGGATTTTAAAAACAAATAGTTTAAAAGTTCTGTTTTTTCATTTAATAATTTCTAATTAGGAATCTTAAAGAATGAAAATGGAGGACCTGAAGATGAAGAAAACTTTGAAGAAGCAATTAAAAATGTGAACACAGCTGTGACTGCTACTAAGGTAAAATGTGGTTCGTCTTTAAACATCCTTCAGCTAGATAAAGTAGTTCCTCCTTTGGAAAAGGTGCTAAAATGTAAATATTTGTTTTCATTACAGATACCAATTTGTATTGAAGAAATTTTCAGTGATGACCACTGTAATAATCTCTCACAGCAGGTAATAAATAAATTGCTGATATCTAAAAATGTGTTTCTCTGAATAGAAGAACTAAGTGTAGTGTTTTTGTTTATTCTTAGAGTCCACCCTTTTGGATCTTGGCTCGAGCTGTAAAAGAATTTGTAGCAAAAGAAGGTCAAGGAAATTTACCTGTTAGGGGCACAATTCCAGATATGATAGCAGATTCTAGCAAATTTATCAAATTGCAAAATATGTAAGTATTCTTTACAATTTAGTATTTTATACACAAACATTGAATTGGCTGTTTTGTTTTTATCATTCCTAACCAGCTGTGTATTTTAGTCAGGCTTATCACTATGCAAACTAAAAGTTAAGGCATCCCATGCCTGTAGGGCACTTGCTATCCTATGCACAGAAATATCTTCCATGGATATACCCTGAAGTAAGTGTTTATAGGATTCAAGCTTTAGAACCATAGGCTGTTTATTCCAACTACTGCTTAAGAAGAAAATAATTTCCACATTGTGTCTGTGTTCACATTGCTGATAAGACACACACAGAGAGAAAGAGAGATTGCAGTATTGATCATTTTCATTGTGTTGGCTCTAAACTTGTGTACATAGAAGTTTACTGTTTCAGCAGGGAGAAGGCAGGTAGACCTTCCCTAACAATGTGGAAAATGGAAAAAGAGGCTCCAGCAGGACATTTCCACTGAATCCCAGTTCCCTCCACAAGGAGGGGAGGCCTTGAGAAGGGGCACGTTGACATCCAGCTCAGCAGCAATTTTTCACACGCCTGTTTTATACAAACTCCTTATGTGCACAAAACATATATAAAGCCCAAAAAACAGCGTGTAGACAGCCACCTGGCAGATACTGAGTTTTTCCATGTATAAGGTGATACTTTTGTCTAAAATCTTTACTCTAAAAATTGAGGGTCATCTTATACATGGACATAAGCTGAGGAGATAACAAAACATACCTTGCTTCTGCAAGCAGGCTGCCTTCAATTTTGAGGCTTAGCTTCCTTCAGTCATGAGCTTTATGGAACTGATGTCAGCTGATGGTGAACAAACCAATTGGAGCACACCTCATTGGAGGTGGAGCTGTAAGTAGTGCTCAGATGCAACAGGGACTCATAATGTCTGAGCGTTCTGAGCCCAGAGGCTGAATACTTAAAGCTAAGTTAAGATTTCTTAATTTGGGGTTTAAAAAATGGGGGGGGGGTGTCTTATACATGAGGGCATCTTATATGTATTCCTGCATCAGCAGGGGGTTGGAATTGATGGCCTTATAGGCCCCTTTCAGCGTCACTATTCTATGATTTTATGTATTTTGGTACACAAAAGGCAGGATGCTGTTTACCAATGGAGAGCATAATACCTCTGCATATGAAGCATTCTGGTAGCATCTGGCTTGCAAGTCAGAGGGCACCCCATTGGTCTGTCTGCTTGCAGATAGTTTGTTAATTCAGTCTTTTACAAGTGGTGGGAAATGAGGAATCGCAGAGAATGGACTCTCCTAAGCATGGATAAGTACCAGCAGGATACTGGCTGTAAATATGAGGGAGTTATTGCAAGTATTGTCTTCTCAACTCATTTGGTGCTAGAGGTGGGCACAAACTGAAAAACAGGTGATTTACGATGGTTCATGGCTACCCACAAACCATGAACGATCACAGAGTCCTCAAAAACTGAACCAGTTTGCGATTCGTTTTTTGAGTTCATGCGGGGTGGGCTACTTGGTCCTTCTGCCTGGTCCTGCACCCTCTGCTGCCACTGCAGGCCGCCAGTGCCCTCTTTGGAGGCAGTGGCTGGCTTCTGGCAAGGAAGTTGGACCTGCTGCCTTTGCGTCTGCATCTGTCTCCCAGCTGATTAGGTGGCTGCATTGCACAGATGCAGTGGGCCTGGCTTCCCTGCCACTTCCTCTGAAGATGGTAACTGGCGGCTTGTGGTGGCAGAGGAAGAAGCGGAGGTTGCAGGAGTCGGACCGGGCAGCAAGAGCAGATCGGGAGGTGACCCAGGGGGAGGGACAGACAGGCCATCTCTTTTTGCCAATGTAAAATGAAGTGCCAAGCAGAAAAAAGTTCAGCACTTCATTCTGCTTCAGCAAAACAGGATCCCCAAACCACTAACTGGGCTGGGCTTGTTGTTTTTTTCTGGTTTGTGCCCATGTCTGTTTGCTATGAGGGAGTTATTGCAAGTATTGTCTTCTCAACTCATTTGGTGCTAGAGGTGGGCACAAACTGAAAAACAGGTGATTTATGATGGTTCATGGCTACCCACAAACCATGAACGATCACAGAGTCCTCAAAAACTGAACCAGTTTGCGATTCGTTTTTTGAGTTCATGCGGGGTGGGCTACTTGGTCCTTCTGCCTGGTCCTGCACCCTCTGCTGCCACTGCAGGCCGCCAGTGCCCTCTTTGGAGGCAGTGGCTGGCTTCTGGCAAGGAAGTTGGACCTGCTGCCTTTGCGTCTGCATCTGTCTCCCAGCTGATTAGGTGGCTGCATTGCACAGATGCAGTGGGCCTGGCTTCCCTGCCACTTCCTCTGAAGATGGTAACTGGCGGCTTGTGGTGGCAGAGGAAGAAGCGGAGGTTGCAGGAGTCGGACCGGGCAGCAAGAGCAGATCGGGAGGTGACCCAGGGGGAGGGACAGACAGGCCATCTCTTTTTGCCAATGTAAAATGAAGTGCCAAGCAGAAAAAAGTTCAGCACTTCATTCTGCTTCAGCAAAACAGGATCCCCAAACCACTAAGTGGGCTGGGCTTGTTGTTTTTTCTGGTTTGTGCCCATGTCTGATACTGCTAAGCTGTAATAGGAGTATAAATATCATTGTGGAACAAGACTATAGATTCTTAAATATACAGTAGTTTACTAAAGGTTTTTTCTCTTCCTTTTAAAAAAAAGTTATCGTGACAAAGCCAAGAAAGACGCTGAAGCTGTGGCTAACTATGCTGCTAAGTTGCTACAATCAATAGGCAAGGTGAGGTTTAAAATAATATTTTGCCTCTTTCTTAACTGAGAAATAAAAGCTTGAGTAACTGGTATGTAGTAATTCAATTCAGAGAGTTCCTGTGTTTGCTCACAAATTTATGCGTGATCATCTTGCAAGTGCCTTTGTTAAAACCTAGCCAGTTAGCATACCATTCTCTTCCTTTCAGTGAAGAGGGAAACTGTGCTTTGGGGCTCAGTTCCTCCACTCACAATCAGATCACTGCTCTAGTAAGGGTGGTGTAGCCTGCCGATGGAGAACCACACATAATTAGTTATTTGGGTGGTTGGGAAAGCTGTGCAGGGGGTAACACTTTGATTGCGGCTAGAGGTCTTGAACTGCATGCTCCTACCTGCACATTACATGAGAAATACATACTTGAACTGCTTTACTTTCATTCTCATTCTCCACCTTTGTGACTGAGGTTCCCTCTCAGCCGGGCACTCACATCTCTTTCCTCCCTGTGCACAGTGATTGTGTTAGGTTCCAGTTGTGGCGCAGGGGGTAGTCACGCATGCACGCAAGGGGGCAGTTGCATGAGAGGTGGAGTCCCATCCAGCAGGGTTGAAAATTAGAGGGTATGTTGATTGTGGCCAATTACAGCCACTTTCATCAAGCCTCAATTAAATTCTTCTTAAATTCCTCCTATTCCTGTAATGCCTCTTTCTTTATTATACACTGGTGCCTCACACAACGATGTTAATTGGTTCCAAAAAAATCAACGTTGTGTGAAACATCGTTCTGTGAAACACCATTTCACATAGGAATGCATTGAAAACCGGTTAATCCGTTCCAAATGGAACGGATTGCCATCGTTCAGTGAAAATCCCCATAGGAAACATTGTTGAGTGAAACAATGTTTCCTATATTGGAATGTATTGAAGCCGACTCAATACATTTCAATGCCTTTGCGAAGTCCTTTTTTGCTCCTGTAAAAGTGTCTTACAATGTTTGGACGCTGTTTTAAATGATTGCAATGGTTAGTCCACCTCCTGAAACCTATGCAAACTGATTTTGGTGTTGTTCTGACACTTCGTTAATTTATGATGATTTTTTGTTTTTTCCATTGGAAACCATTAGGGAGACCATCCAATGGTTTCCAATGGAAAAAATTCAAAACTTTTACAGGAGCAAAAAGGAGATCGTTGTGTGAAAATCCCCCATAGGAAACATCGCTGTGTGAGGCAGCAAATTTAACAGAAAAAGGCATCGTTGTGTGAATTCATCGTTGTGTGAGGCACTCGTTGTGCGAGGCACCACTGTAATTCTTTTCTAAGTGTTTCTTTCCTGTACTAGAGCAGGTCATCTATTCATTAGCTGAGGCTTTGCCATCAGAAACGCTAACAAATGTTACTCCATTGTATTTTCTGCATTTGTCACAAGAAATAGAATGGGTTCTAAGCTAAGAATTTCTAGGTTGTTAATAATGCACCATTTGGTACAGGCACTTGGACCTCTAGTGAGTTATGTGTATATTTTTGTAGTTGTCCCAGCCCTTCTAATAGGGATATCATTGACCTCTCAAAACTATAACAATAAAAACATAATTCATCATTTTTTCACAAAATTAAGGAATATATGTGGGCACACATACTGAATTAGTACATAGCAATGAGAATTGACTTGAACACACAGAATTGTGAGAGATGGTCTTACAGTTTTTAATGTAGTTTTATTTTCACTTGACCTTGGATGCATTTGACTCTGTTGATAAAAGGTTAAATGAGTGTTAGTTGCTAGGAATATATACAAAACTACCATATTAGAGACATGTATATGAATCTGGGGGAAATGGCATTGTATTTTATAGGCACCGGAATCCGTTTCTCACAGAGAGCTGAAACTTCTTTGTAAGTATTTTTCTTCTTTCTTATGATGGAAATATTTTTTCTACATTATTACTGTGCAGCGAAAGGTCATTATCAATGAATTTTTAACATGTATTAAATTCCATAAATCTTACAAATGGGTATTTAAGCTGCCTTCTGATGTGATCTAGCAATTGTTTTATCATGAAGCTGCCTGTGTGCCTAAAGGCTTTTCTTAACTATCCTCATGAAAAAAGCTATAACATTTATTTTGAGTTTGCGTGGATTTGCTGGTTTCATTCTAGTGAATGAAGTAGTCCTGTCTTTGTTGAAGCATTATATATTGAGAGATTCTCTGAATTTGGAACAGGATTGTTTTCTCTCTTCTGAAATTTTGTGAATGTACTCTTTCAAATGTTAGTGAGATTTATTGTGTTCAGTTTTAACTAATATTAACTAGACAATAGTTCAGGAAAAAGAGTCAGTAGCAAGCCTTTGGATAACATATTTTATTGTGAACCTCTGGGTGGTTTACAATGATGCATGTAAACCAAGAAAGAATAAATATACCAATACAAATTGACAAACAATAAAATAAATTAGTCAGTAAAACTAATAAACTAGCTAGCCTATTTTTAGATAAACAATTTAGAATGTCATTGGACATCACTGGTAAAATCACTAATAAAAGGTAGCTTTAAACAGTTCAGTTTTCACTACTTAAAAACTCAAAGTAAAGGCACCTGGTGAACCGCTACGGGAAGTTTATTCTAGAGGTGTAGGGCCACAACTGAAAAAGCCCGGTTCCTGATGTTTGCTCTTTTGGCCTCCCTTGTTGTTACTGTTTTTAACATCCTAGACTGCAAAGAGCTGGCGGGATGGGTAACTTTTGTAGGTGATGAGCTGCACCTTGAATTGGGCACTGAAACCAACAGAGAACCAATGGAGGCGTGCCAAGACTGGAGATATATAGTTATATCTTTTGGTACCTGAGATCAGTCTGGCTGCTGCGTTTTGGACCTGCATTGAAAGAAACACAATACATGTAGCTCATTTTTATTGTGTGAGAATATTCTATTTTTAATAAGTAATCAATAAAAGGGAGTTTTAGTGACAGCCAGGTTTTATCCTTTTGGGACTAAGTTAAAATGATTTTTAAGAAATTGGTAATTTTGATTTTAAAAATACCCTTGCATTAAGTTCTATATTCTCTGCTGCCCCCTTCACAACTATCCGGCACTCTCTTTATAGGTAGCAACTCAGCATTTCTTCGAGTGGTGCGGTGTAGATCTCTTTTGGAAGAGTATGGATTGAATACTGCAAACAAAGATGTGTAAAGTAAGGATATATTTAGTTATCTACTGTATATGTTTTCACCTGTGCACCATAATATGAATATTAAAGCCTTGCTACATCAGGAAAGAAATGAGTCATACTGCTCCTTTTTACATTTCTTCATATGTAGGTCAAAGTTACTAATTCCAGAAATATCAGTGAGCCCCAGACCAGATCTTCATATATTTGCATCTTTGCTGGATTAAATATAGTATAGCAAGAATAGTTCAGCAGTGATGAGGGGAGCAAAAGATTCTTGGATTCCTGTACCTAAATTTCAGTTGTATCTGTAGATGATAAAGTCAAGAAACCATCAGTCTTCTGCTAAAACAGCGTTGAAGCAAGGATAAACAACTCCCAAAAGGTCTTGCTGCTGCAGGACAGCAAGAAGTTACTCGGACAACACTTTTCTTTTTTATATACCTTAATTACAAAGGTACAACACCAGCAAACTATTGTCCTAATACTTTTATCTCATAATGTTGCCTCAAAACTTCTTCAAGCAACAAGCACACCTGGAACACATCACATGTTTCCTTATCTATGTAGGCTTGTAAAATGGTGATCAGCAGCAGTTAACATATTTCCCTCCAGAAAGGGTGATCAAGTTCCAGAGGTCTGTGGGCCAAACATACCCCCTCTAGACCTCTTAAACACCCCCCAGGCCACACAATGTATTTTTAAAAGATGAAGACAGTCTCTCTTCTGTCTAAGGGGCTTAGGGGGCAATTTTGCCATGTTTTGGCAAAATTGGGTAAAGGGACAGAAGTCATGGTGACTTTGCCTCTGCAACTCAAGAGGGTGCAAAAGGATATTGTTGGACTATGGGTCCATAGAAAACTGCTCGACCGCTCAGTGGTTTAGGTATCTGCAGAGCCAGAGGTTGGAAATTCAATTCCCCACTATGCCTCTTTGACAGGAGTTGGAATCAATGATCCAGAGTCCCTTCAAGCTCTGCAGTTCTAAGATGATGATGATGATGATATGCACACTGCATTTTGCTCACCTGCATGTTTTGCTGAGTTAGGAAGTGGTAAAAGTGTTTTAGGTTCACATGATCTTTCTTGAATCAGTGAAGTATTCTTCTCCAGAGTATTGTTAAACAAATAACAGATTATCTTTATTTTCCTTTAAAGTTTCCCATATGGATAACCCAGATAGTGAGATGGTGCTGTACTTAATGTTACGAGCTGTGGATAAATTCTTTAAACATCATGGTAGATACCCAGGTAATTTTTTTCAGTATTGCCCAGTACAACAATAGAAACAAAAGCAGAATACTATAAGCTTAATAGTATTCCATGCTTAAATGTTTGTAATTATGTAGATCAATTGTTATGACAGAGTTATAGTTTATATTTGTAGCGTATGCACTCATTTGTTTATATATCTGACAAATCAAATTGAAAGGTTTATTAAGCATTGCAGTTGCATGGGGAAAGGTGGCTTTGTTCACATTACTGTAGTTAATTTTTTTCCCTTAGGCAAAATCCACAAAAGAAAACAAAACAAAAACAAGACAAGATAAAAGAAGACAAAAGCATATTGTTCCTTAAAGACTATTATATTTTAATATGACCTTTTGTGGACATGTCCACTTCATCAGACATATGAAAACAGAATGAAATATTGAATTAAATAGCACTTTCATACTAAACATCAATTGGCTCTTGAATGTATGTTACATTTACATGCAGTAATTTATTTTATTTTATTTTATTTATTGTACTTATATCCCACCCATCTGGTCAGTCGACCACTCTGGGCGGCTAGCAACAGACAAAAATAAAACAATTTAAAATATAACAATAGTATACAGCATCGGTAATCAATTGCTCAAGATGGAAAAGAAAAAAGAAAAGATAAATTAAATAGTGGCTGGAGGGAAGGCCTACTTAAACAGCCAGATTTTCAATTGGCTTTTGAAAATACCCAGCGAAGGGGCCATACGGATCTCAGGGGGGAGTTTATTCCAAAGGCGAGGAGCCACTGCCGAGAAGGTCCGGTTTCTTGGTTTTTCTTTCTGGGCCTCCCTCAGCGTTAGGCTCCTCAACCTCGCCTCCTGACTTGATCGGGTGATACAGGTAGATTTTGGTCGGAGTAGATGTTCTGCCAAATATCGAGGCACTAAACAGTTTAGGGCTTTGTACGTAAGTATTAAAACTTTGAAATCAACACAAAACCGAACAGGCAGCCAATGCAAAGCAGCCAGAGTGGGAGATATATGATGGTATTTTCTCACCCCACAGAATTTATGGCTTCTGTTGTTTTAGGGCTCTTCTGTAAAAATTCCTCAGGAGACAGAAAACAGAAACCAAGCCTGAGCAAAGATGAAAGAGAAGAGAGGGGTGGGTGGAGGTTGAAGATTCACTTAAAACTCAAGATGGAGCGAAAAAGAGAATATTAATTAAGTGAAAGAAGATGGCAGAGGAATCATGTTAATGTAGGGAATAGTGACAGTTTTTTCCTTTGAGCCTTGTGATGAGAGATGGGCTTGGTAGTTGTGAAGAAAATAACAGAGGCAGTAGAGGCAGCAGAAGTATTACATTTTTATTTATATTCAGTCCTATTATATGGGGGTCATGCATGTAAACTGTATCTCAGCTGTTTCCCTCTACTCTTGATTTGTAATGATTTTGTTCTAAAATAGTGTCTTTCCACAGAGTGTCCTGATAGACTGAAATAGTTGGAGACAGGTATCTGTGCTTTGTGGTTTCTGATGTCAGATTTGTGACCCTCAGTCTGTTTCTGTAGACATTGTCTTGTTTGTCCTATGTAGAGTGAAGAGAGTTATTGTTCTAAAATACTATCTTTTTCTCTCCATCCTGAATTTTAAGTGAATCCCAATCTTCAACCTACAGCGGCACTCTTCTCTCTCCCTCCCCCATCTTTGCCCGGTCCTGGTGCCTATTTCTGTCTCCTCAGGAATTTTTACAACAGAGCCCTAAAACAACAGGAGCCCTGAATTACTGAGTGTAAATTTAACATACATCCAAGAGCCAATCAGTATTTAATATGAAACTTATATTTCATTCAACATTTTTCCATATGTCTGACAAAGTGGATGTCTCCACAAAAGCTCACATTAAAATATTATAGTTTAGTCTTTAAGGTTCCACATGTTTTTGTCTTGTTTTGCTTTGGGGTTTCTTTTTTTGTTTGTTTATTTGGATTGTGCCTGATATACTTGCACAAACTAATATGACTACTTCCAAATTTTATGTACCTTCAGTGAAATGTAAGCACTGTTCTTAATTTTTAAAAATTGTTTTCAGGGGTATATAATTACCAAGTGGAGGATGATATTGGAAAACTAAAGTCATGCCTTAATAGTTTTCTTCAGGAATACGGATTACCAGTAACAGTGAAGGATGATTATGTTCATGAATTGTAAGTGTAATACACATTAAATACTATTTTTCTATATGTTTATATTAGACCATAAATATTAATATTAATTTTTTTTCTGTGTAGTTGTCGTTATGGAGCTGCTGAGCCACATACCATTGCAGCATTTTTGGGAGGTAAGAGTACAATTGAATGAATGAATGAATACTTTATTACGGTCAAAGACCAGTAAAACCAAATCAATATAAAATAGATACATATAATTATAGCTTGGTGAGATCAGTCGGGGTAATAAAATTCCAATAAAACATGATAAAACAACCCTTCTTTCCAGTTAATAACATCATGTATCCTTAATATAAATAAAACCTCAATCAGTGTTATATTAAAAACATATCCATCTAAAATCACCTACCCAAACATTTGATTACGAATAACCATTGCTGCTGCACAGAATTTGGCCACTTGTCTCGTAATATAAAGGGTGTTGTCAGAGAGTAGCAGTTGGACATAATCCTCTGATCTCCCGGGAGATTTACAAATAATAGATGATAAAAGCTCCATACGGAGATCCCGATAGCAGGTACAGAAAAGGAGAACATGACCAACTGATTCAACTTACTCACTGTTACAAGGGCAGAGACAATCTGCTGTAGGCAAACCTCGAAATTTTCCCTCCCAAAGCTTGGAAGGAAATACATTGAGCCTAGCTAGCGTAAAAGCCCTTATGGCTTTAGGTGACATAGTGCTGGCTAAATACGAGGAGATGGCCCCCAGTTGCTCCAAGGGAAATCTTAATGCTAATTAAGCAATTTAAACCTATTGTTTTTACAGGTTCATGTCAAACTATATGGTTATTGTATATAAAAAGATTATTACAACATTGGGTCTCTTTTGCACTATAATTAAATTTTGCACTAGTACAAGTTTGAGCACTTATGGATGCATTTTTTAAATTCCTAAATCCAGTAGTAATTCTCAACAAGAGTAGACATATTGAATGAATTATATTTGCGGATATCATTGATTCAATGTTGACTTAACCAAGTTCTGTTCATTCAGTGCACTTATTCTAGTTGGGAATAACAATTGAATGTAGTCCAAACTACTTCATTTTAAAAACTGATTAATTCCAAAATATATACATTTTTATTCATTTAAGAAATACAAAAATTTGTACTGTATATTTCTGTACATATTTTGGTGTATGCAATGAGGGGTAGTATGCAGGTAATCATATCAGTTAAGATCAGCTATAATTGAGTTTCTTTTGAAAATAGTGAGTTCTGTATGCACAATAAAGCCTCCCAAAACTACCAGATTGAAGCTACTGGTCTGTAATCATTGAGAGATACCACAGCTGACTGCTTGGGGACTGGCACTATAATAGATGTCTTCAGGCAAGTGGGGACTGAACACTGCAACAAGGATAGATTGAAAATATCCGTAAAAACTCCAGCTAATTCTGCAGCACAGCCCCTAATAACTCGTCCCATGATTCCATCTGGTCCAGCTGCCTTTCGAACATTAATATTCTGGAAAGCGCGTCTCACATCTGAAATCTGCAGTACTAGTGGTTGTCTGTTGATGGTAGATTCTAGTGATGTATTATAGACAGTAGGTGCTGGAATAATGGTTGTTCCTGTTTCCACCTCAAAACGGCTGAAAAATTGATTTAACTGCTCAGCCAAAAAATATTTGCCCTATAATATCTTGTCATAAAATTCAAACTTTATTTCTTTTTCACTGTTCTCCCACTGTTTTAACAGGAGCTGCTGCCCAAGAGGTTGTGAAAATTATTACAAAACAGTTTGTCATTTTTAATAATACCTACATTTACAATGGCATGTCTCAGACCTCAGCAACATTTAAGCTGTAAACTAAACAGAATACATTATTTGAAAGTGTATTTACTTTTGACTTGCATTTTTTCCCTGTAAATTGTTATCTGTTATGATTAAATATTATTTTGAATTGTAATAAAAACTTTATCCAACATTTTAATTAAATGCACTGGGACATGGAACATGCATACTTTTAAAAGTGTGAAGAGATTTTACGTGTCATCACTGTTTCTTCGTATTATTTTTTTGGTAAAAGCACTTCTGTACTTTACTCAGATCAGTAGTACACCAACATGATTTAAGAAAATGTTATCTATATTAAATATATGACTACTTGAAGCAAATGTGCAACAACTAAATAGGTTCTGTTGTTTTTCAGAACTTGCCTTCTTCCCCTGTGTGAACATAATTTTGCTGGGGGCAAATCTGGATTCAGTCCCTGTATCACAGGCGGCGTCGCCTGGTGCCAGTCCGTGGGCTTCCTTTAACTGGGCCATGGACACGGATCTCCGCCCCCCCCGCACGCACGCACGGGGGGTGTCGTAGTTGCGGAGGGGTGTGTCATGCTTGTGCGCATGCACACAAGCACAACACACACACCCACAAGCGTGACACAGCCACCCACTCTCAAAATCTGCCTGGCTTCTAATTTTAGCCCAACCCGGAGTGGGAGCAGCGGAGGCACCTACTTGGCAAGTGCAGGGCTTCCTCCCCAAATCGTAGGGGCTGGGTCCTGCCTGCCACCCCTGAAGCACCTACGCATCCAGAGGGGGAGCCCTCTCCCTGCCCGGCAATCTTCTCCCTCAGGGGTTTGGCTCCACCGGGGCTTCTGCTTTTAGGTCTCTCCCCCCCTCCCCCTCCCCCCCACTCTTCACGGGTCACCTGGCAAGGCTGCTGCTGTCACCTCATCCTCTCTGCGGCTGAGGTCAAGGAGGGACCCCGCTCGCAATCTGGCCATGCGCTTCTTCCCCCTTCCTGGTGCTCCTCTGCTCCCTGCCCAGACGTGCCGCAGGAGGAAGTGATGCTGAGAGAACAGCCTTCTCACACACGCTCCTCTCCCCCGGTCTCCTTTGCAGCCTGCCGCGGAGAGCTCATGCCCGTCCATCCGTCCATCTTGGTGGTCTACCGCGGAGAGCTCGTGCCCATCCATCCGTCCATCTTGGTGGTCTGTTGCTCATTCCCTCCCTCCCTCTTCCTTTCCTCTTTGTTTGTTCCTTGGTGGCTGCGCTCCTTCGGTCCTGGCAGCGGTGGCAAACAAATAGCAGCAGGGAAGGGTCTAAACCAGTAAGAATTACATTTGTCCCTACCAACTAGTAACATGCAGAGCCTGATATTTAATCCTAAAAAGGATTTAGTCCCTGTGTTAGAAAAGCTTCCCTTCTCCTGGCTTAAGGCTTCTTATGTTCTGACCCAAAATGAATCAAATTTTGGCACAGTCAATTTTGTTTGAGAAAGTTGTGAGAATTGTGAAGTTTGGAATAATCTGAATTTCCAGCTTTAATATTTGCAATTAAAGAGAAGCTACATGATGCGATGTTATTTTCTGATGTGCATTTGTGATAAAATGTTTCCATTACCCACATAAATATTTCTAAAATAAGATACCTAGTGAATATGAAGAGATATGTGAGCCATAATCTATTAATCATGAATCAAGAGTGTGATTCATAGCCGAATGAGGACATACCTGACCATTGTATCAAATCAAAGCAGTTCTCAAAAGAGCCTGCCATTCATAATTATGCTGTGGATATTAAATATATGCTCAAAGTGAAAGCTAAGTGCAATGGCCTTTTCGGAGATTAAGCTTTAATTGCAACAAATTCTGCTTGCAGCATATGAGATCAAACCAATGAAATGTATTTGTAAATGAAAAAATGTAAAGCTCATCTATATTTTTCAGTATTTTTGGTATCTAGTAGAACAGAACAAAGCCTATTTTATATTTGTTTCTTCCACGTAGGCAGAACACAACATATTTCAAAATGTATTGTTATTGTCACACAGTAGTTGAAAAGAACATGTGTAGCACCAAAGACTGAAAGGGAGTACTTTTGCTTCTGTGTGAGTAGAATTCCGTCTTTGGGCCCTGATGTAGTTTAGCTGTATGTAGGACCCGCCACGTACCACAAAGAGCTCTACCATCCAATACTCCACTATTCCTTTCCACTCCCCAGTATATGACTTCTGAATCCCCCATCCCCTTCTGCCTAATGGCAGGACCAAATGCAGACTGAAAGAGGAAAAAAGGAAATTCAGTTTTTAAGCAAGGAACATCTTACTCCAACACATCCAATTGAAGAGACGGTGGTCTTCTCACCCCTTTCCTATTAGAGGCTGGATGTCATTGTGGCCATTCTGACCATGCGTGCAACAACTCTAAACAATGATACTGTGTTGTATCCAGACCAATAATTTATTATTCTTCCCGCACTGCTTTTTCCATTCATTTTACCTTTTACCTGTATGACCAGTGGTAACAATCTGTCACAGATTGCTACAAATACCATCTCGATCTGCAGCTCTTGGAAACTTCTGTTTAAAATTTATAAGGGTCCAACCCTTGGATCTCTATCCTTCAGGATCAAGAGAAAGAGGGCTTTTTTTTCTTATGTCCAAATGGGAATGCCACCAGTTTGATGTTTTCTTGATAAATCAGCAATACTGATCATGTGAGCCCTGTCTCGGTAATTCACCTCTTGTGTGATGAGGCAGAATCAGTAGAAAATCAGTATGGTGTCAAGCCTGTGATTATTCTTGTGGATATCCTACATTTGGAGAGGTGGGAGATGGAACTTTGATAGTGGCAGTCAAGACTGCTTTTGGGATGAACTGTGGAGCTGTTGAAAAAGAATGCAAAAGAGAAAATGTAGATGAGAAATGTAAACTTGTCTGGAAAGCATTTGAGAATTTTTGTACAGTAGTTAAAATATTCTGCTGTGTCCCCTTGTTGACCATAGACACTGGAATATACAGTAATACTATGAATTTCCAAAACACTAGATTTATTCACATGATATTTTAAAGTTCATGAAATTAATATTCGATGTTTTCCTCCACCACTGTTATTTAATCTCTGCCCACCCACTACCGAAATAAATAGATGGACGAAGGTGTTTGAGTTAACAAGGGCCACACTATTGTTTTTAACCTCCACACTCTCATCCTGCAGAGGGGCCTGGGCATCATGTGGATCCCTGGAGCAGGCTCTAGGGGTATCTCTTACCCCCTCTCCAATCCTAAGCAGGTGGGTCCCAAGCCCCTGGTCAGAGATGTCCCCTGAACAGTTCGTACCCAGATGGCCACAGACTGGGAAGAAAAACATTTCTGAACAACATAATTTTTTTTTCTAATTATGGTTACTAAGGAAGGAGATTAACCAAATACAATTTATTGAATGCTAGGGATTAAATACAGATTAATCACGCAGAGTGAGCAAATGTTTCAGAAATAAAAAATTTCTGTTTCATTTCCAACAACTACACCCACAGCTCCATCAGAAGGAGGGCATCCAGAAAAGGATCCCCACAAATGCTACTCTTTCCCATCTGTGTGGGAAGTCTGTTCTTGAAATCCAGCTTACATCTGGCTGCCCCCTAACAAACCCATTTATCTCCATTAAAAACCAACAGCAACCTCTAAGTCCCACATCAACTGCCCTGCCAGACCTCACCACCTTAAACCTACACTAACCAGGCAACGCCTTAATGTAGTTTCCAGAGCTATAGAAAAAACAGGAAGCAAACCTGTCCGTTGATAACAGAGTACGTCTCTACAAACTATGAACCTGAATGGCTGAGAAACTCCATGGTTAAGCCTGGATGAAAGGTAAATGTAAGTAATTTTGAAAAGCCAAGGTCTCTCAAACTCATTCTGCTCCCAATGGCTGTTGAGGCAGGAAAGCAGCAAGTGGGCAAAGACCAACTGTCAAGAACTTACAGCACTGTTGCTCCAGCAACCATGTGACCTCAGAGGTCATGTGACACCTTCTCTCATTATGTCCTCAGCGGTATGTCAAAAGTTATTTAAATGTCTCTCACACTCTTAAGCCCAACCAGGCTGCTTGCAAGAGTGAAATAAGTCTTGTCCTGTGGATCATAAATAGTTCTGCATGGGCTGCTGCCGGGCTGTTTTGTTCTTGTTCTTAAAAGCTCATGATAAGTTTTATCACCAAATGGGCATCCATTAACTATCTTAGTTAATGATGTGAAGCTATTTACCTGCTCCTACAAAAGAAACTGGTGGTTTAAAGTGTTTGGATATACGTGTAGTGACTATAGAACAAGAGTTTTTAATCTGTCATTAGCTTAATGTTTTAATAAAAATATACATGGTAAAGTTTACTAGAGCAAGGAAAAGGTGGGAGACATGCAGTTGGATTCTGGGGAAGATATGGAGCCAGGGAAGCACTGTTCTGCCTATGTAGAGGGAGTTGCTGTGACATGAATGTGGACATGTATACTTTATTGATTAAAGGATAGCCTTTGACTAATCCAACCTGGTTGGCTGAGGGAGTTCTTTATAACCAGCGGTAAACAAATTGTGGGTAAATAAACTATTCAAGATATGTATTCTCGAAGGCTTTCCAATGGTTGTTTTAAGTTTTTCAGGCTATTTGGCAGTGTTCTGGAGGTTTTTCTTCCTAACATTTCACCAGTCTCTATGGCTCACTTCTTCAGAGGAGAAGAGTTAGAACTCTGAAACAGAGTTTTAACTCCTGTCCTCTGAAGATACCGGCCACAGAGACTGGTGAAACGTTAGGAAGAAAAACCTCCAGAACATGGCCAAACAGCTTGAAAAACCTGAAAGAACTATTCAAGAGAGATCAGATTGGCAACCTTGCATTGGCAATAAAAAGCTGCAGTGGAGATTGAAGATAGATGACAGAGGACATAGAGATAGAATTACAGGGATGTAATTCTGCTTTTGAATTTGTACTCTGACAACACATTTAGAGAATCATTTGCTCATTCATCCAAATGATGGTATCAACAAATAGATTATCAACAATACCCAACAGGCCAATGATGCAGTAGTACCAGCTGAAAATTTAGATCAAGCACTGAACAACAAAGCAAGTGGAGAAAGTAAGAGATGCATTCTAGAAAATATTCAGAAAACTAAGTCCATGATAAGTACGAAGCAAGTCACTCAAGAAATGGAGTTAAAGATCCCAATGAAAATGTGGAGTGTGTTACCAGGTATAACTGCTTTGGATTCTACAGTATTTGAATTAGCAATGAGCTTTTTTCAAATAACTTTTCACACAGGACTCCTATAAAAAATAAATCAAAGCATCTGAAAATAAATACTAAGGCAAATAAAAGTCAAGAAATCATAAAATACACAATGCAGCAAGCTAGAATACTTTGGTCATTACTAAGAGGTGCAGATTGTTACAGCTGATTGTTCAAGGTACTGTAAAATAAATGGGCAAAGAAGCATAGGAAGGAGAATGTTACAGCTGATTGTTCAAGGTAAAATAAATGGCAAAAGAAGCATGGGAAGGAGAATTTATTGGTTGAAGAATCTTAGGAAGCAGGTTTGGATGCAACACAACATTATTTTTCAGAGCTTGTCTCATCGGAAGACAAAACTGCCATGGATAGACTAGCAACAAAAAAGAGGTTGTTCAACTTACTTTAAATGGGTAAACTCTCACTGGCATCTTATTTACCTTTAACAAAATGATTTTTTGGAAGAATAAGTCACAGACTAACAAGTGTGTGTGTGTGTGTGTGGGAAATGTCAGTTTACGCTTTCTGTTCATCTGAATACTATACATCTGAATAATAAATTTGAAGGGTTCAGTTAAGTTTCAGAACAATTTCTGAGTGTAAGGCCAGAATGTCAGCCCACCTCTAACAGCAGAAAACAGAAAAATAGTTTGTTGTCATCATTAAAGAACTGAAGTTAGATATTAATTCTTTTGGGATCTGCTGCTAGACTCATTAGGTGACCTTGGCTCAGGCTGATCTACAGTATTTGATGGGCATGCTGTATAGACAAAAATAAAGAGAAAAACCATCTACAGTACACAAACGTGTGTTGAGCGCTTTGGATGAAAGGTGGCTGATAAAATGGAACTAATATATTTAATACTTGAAACATATATATTGAGTATAGTGTGAAAGCATGGGTTATGATGAAAACAAACCATATTCCTTTGTGAAAATTTGAAATTAAAATGTAATAATATATTTAAAACACACACACACACACACACACACACAATGTAAGAATACAGTATATTTATAGATCAATAGGCAGAATTCATTGATTTCATATTGAATAAAGAGGAAAGGATGTACATCTTGGAAGGAGATTAACATTATTGTATAGACTTTGTTATGTGTTATTAGATGTTTTTATTTTTCTGTGATTTTGCTTATATTTTCAATAATAATAATGTTAAGAGGAAACACTAGATCTGTCCCAGTGAGTTTTCTGGCAGGGGAAGGGTTTTTAATATATACCTCCTTATACTGTTTGTACATGGCTAAGTTGTACTGCAGCTCTCCCCATCCCGGGGTTTGGAGTTTGCATGACATGATATTGAAAAGTCTATTAAAGAGACATCCTCACAGGCAAAAATGGCATCCTGACAATTGAGGTGGATGGGAGATGCCTGCCTTACACCTCAAGGTGCTGAAAGAAGAACCAGATCTGAAAGAACAAGAATCTACAGTGGACTTTTTGAGGAAACTTTTGAAGTCGATTCTAGCTACTGAAAACTTGCCTAAAGATGGGAAAGTTGGCTATTTTGGACTACAACTTCCAGAACAGCCCCCACCATCCTGGCCTGTGGATTGTTCTGGGAGTTATAGTCCAAAAAGGAACTCTTCTTGGCTTCTTTGGGCCCTAAGAGCCTTTCCTGTTTTTGGTATCACAACTACCGCTATAGAAACTTAAAGTAACTGCGCTAATCCTAAATCAAATTTTTTTTCTCGTTCAATCCCGTGTGAAAAACGTCCAGCCTTCAACCCGCTTATACTTCTGGACCCCAGGATGTGTCTCCTTTCTCTCCCTCTGGGCCCCTGTGGTCACAGAAACATGTATTCAGCTGGCAGAGGGAAGAGGGAAAAATCAGAAAATTTCCCCCCGATTTAACTCGCCATAAGCGCTGAGGTAAACGATGACAGAAGACTGGGGGCCGGGGGGGAGAAAAGGAGGGGGGAAAGGCGGGGAAACCACTGAGGCGACGACGCTTTCCTGCGGATGGAGGAGCTGCGGCCGGTCGGACCGCCCCCGCTTCCCGCCCACTGGGTCCGTTTCTTCGGGCCACGAATGCGTGACCCGTGAGCCACAAAAATACAATTTATTATACATGGGGCAGAGCAGGTAGATTAGGCGTTCAAATGAGTACCATTTTCCGACCGAGCTGAGTTTTCTCTGCCTAGCGTGGTGTCTAATACTGAAGTGAGGTGTCAGTTCACTTCTCTGACGCGGGTCTCCTGAGCTGGGCATTTATTTTATTTATAGGTTATCTTTCTCCCCATAGGCGACCCAAGGGAGCGCACGACAATCAAAACGATATAATAAAGATTTTTACAGACTTTAAATGGCCATCACAAAACTCTTATTTAAAAAAATTATTAAAACACGATTAAAAACAGTTTTTAAAACATTTAGTGCCGTTCCGGCAGAAAAGAGGATGAGAGGAGAGGGCGGTGTTTACTGACACGTGAGATGTTAATACATGGTGTAGCGACTAAGGATTCTGATTTTTTTTTTACACACTGTGTGTGTCCTGCAGTTTTGTATGTCTCTTCCTCTGAGGAAATCAAGGCAACATAGTTTTTTCCCCCCCATTTTATTTTCAAGACGATCTTGCGGGGTGGGTGAGGGAAAGAAAAGGGCGACAGACACCTGGTCACAGGAGAGAGCTTCGTGGCCCATGGTTCTGTCAGGATTAGAACCTCGGTCTCCACAGCATTTGGCTTTTGGGGGCCTAAAACACTTTAATCCCACCTCTGAAGAAAGTACAGTACATGGCTCTGCCCGGGGCTTAAAGATGGGAAAGGTGGCTTTTGGGGGGACTACAACTCCCACAATGCCCCAGTCACTACGTTGAACTCCCGTTTGTGGCAGTACTAATGGGCCTATGAGGACTAATGAGGGAATTCCTTTTTGTCCTGCAGGATTAGTTTTGTGGGGCCACCCAGGGAATTTATGGAGCCTGGAGCAGGTGTGAAATTGGGGGGGCACACATGCTGCTGGACCTCTAAAAGAGACAGTGTGGTGGGGTGTTTTGGTTTTTTTGTGTGTGGTAACTGGTACAAAAAATGACACTCGCAGCACCTAGTCTAGAAATGTTAGGTGGCCATCCCTCACCCCTTGAACTCCCCTCAGGGCCCTTTTTAAAGCCCGCTGGTTCCTTTTGTCCTTACCACAAAACTCCCAACTGGGATTACTTGGCCTGGGCCAACCTTAAGCCTGCTTGACTAATTTTGTTTTTGTTGCTGCCCAGATGTAATGGCGTTAAATTGAAGACAATAGGTTCACCATATACTCCTACAGTATTGCAAGCCTAGCTAATAAGCAGGTCTCTCCCTCTCTTCCCAAGGATCTATTTTAAAGGCAGTTGAAGTTTAAACAGAGGAGCAAAAATAATTTGGTAAAGGCTTGTTGAGATTAAGCATTTGTTTCTCCCCATGCTGTGCTCATTGGTGCCACTTAAGTGCAGATCTTACCTCGATTTCAGTTTCTAGTGCTCCACTTCTCTTTTAAGAATTCAGTATTTCTTTAAGAAATGGATCAAAAATCTTTCAAAATACTTGGGGGAAAACCTTGAAGAACCCTTTTATAATGCTGTAAGAACCTTTAAAACTATCTTATCTGCTAGATTTCAGCCCCTTTGCTTTAACAAAACTCTGGAAAGTGTTGCTGTAAATCAGAATCGACTTGAAGGCATGTATTTATTATTATTTGGCAAAATACTGTACGTAGTACTAAATTGAAAGGCCCCAGTGGTAGTAGACAACCACAGCTAATCCACTTCATTATACTCTTGCCTTCAAAAACTACTGTTTTCAAAATCTAGACAAAACCCTAGAAATTAACACATGCTGGATTTTTCCTGCTGAATATTTGCAGTTGCCTTCTGACTGAAGTACGCAGTTCTTGTTATCAGAAACCCACCATGAGTGCAAAGTTAAATGCCCTCTTCCCTGCCATAACCTCCTAGAAATTATTTTTAAAAGCACAGAATAATAAGTTTTTTGTTCATATTTTATCATAATTAATAATGGTTTAAAACCTTGCATTGTCTGGAGAGCAAAAAAAAGTACAAGAAATGCTGTCTGGATGATTCCTCTGTTTTTTGCTAGACTGAATGCAATTATTTAATCATTTAATACAATTATTTAAACTAGCATCTTTTGGCTGAAATCCAGTTAGTTGCAACTAGAGTTGGCCTATTTATACTAATGGAAGTTATAGGAGAGTTGACTAACCAAACTTCTACTGATTCAGCGGGCCTACTCTAGTGCAACCTAATACACCAAACATGTGTTTCAAACACAATGGAAATATTTACTTTACCGTACTGTAGTTCAATTACATCACACCAACATGCTGAAAGTTATCTTACACACTTAAAATACCATTTCTACTTTTAATGAAAACTTTAAACAACATAACCAAGAACTCTGGTGAGCATGTGGGAATACCTTATACCTCATCTGAAGACCCACATGAAATGATTTGGCTTTTTAAAATTGAAATTGTGTGTACATTTAATTCTTTCCTATTTTGTTTTGTATTTGTACTTTTTAATCTGCTGGCATTGCGTTTGTTCAGCTGGCACCATGCTTGTGTATATATTATTATTGGCAATTATGTTTTAAATTGGTGGAAGTTAGATGACCAAAGTGGTCAAAGCAATAAAGTATTTGAGCCTGGTGAGCAATGTGGCAGGGTTGGGGTGGGTCCAATGGAATATACAGAGGCAGAAGGCAGCCCCCACTGGGTAGCTGTGCCGCTGTGCAATGTTACCAACTTGCAAGGCTTGTCCAGGACAAGAAAACAGAATTGTAGCAGGCCAAGCCACAGAAAAAGGAAAGTGATGGTTGATCTTTCTTTCTTTCTTTCTTTCTTTCTTTCTTTCTTTCTTTCTTTCTTTCTTTCTTTCTTTCTTTCTTTCTTTCTTTCTTTCTTTCTTTCTTTCTTTCTTTCTTTCTTTCTTTCTTGGGAAACACATTTATGGTCTCAACAGATTACAACTGTGTCTTTGGACAGTTCTTACTCTGTGATGTAATGGGACAAAAACTTGTTAAAACCTTATATATCAGTGGGCAAGGAATGCTACTGCCAAGTGCCAGATCGGTAAATGAAAAAACAGCAGCTACAGAGACTTGGTTGGATGAAGCTGGGGGTGTCAAACTCACCCAGCCTTGTCCACCAGGTTCTCTGTGCAGCAGCAAGCAAGATCTGGGGGTTGGGGAGGTGTCGTTGCAGTCGTCTTCCATGATACTATTCCATGGCAGTGGTGGTGGTGAAAAATTCATTCTTCTCTGCCACCGCTGTATCTGCAAAGAGTTGCCAAGTGGAAGTCTTTTGTGTGGTCAAGAGCCTAGTACATGCCAGCCCCCAGGAAGAGAATGCAGACCACACAAGAGCTCACTGTGAGGTATTTCCACAGCACTTTGCAGGCATTATTGCTCAGATCTGCTCTGACTTATACTGTAGTTAATACAGGCCCTGTAGATGTAACTGCAGCCCCTGCTTCTTAATGGATAAGTTTCAAATGGCGATGCGGCGCTCGTGCGGGCAAGCTGGAGCGCACACGCAGGTGTAATGGATAAGTTTCAAATGGCGATGCGGCACTCGTGCGGGCAAGCTGGAGCGCACAAGCAGGTGCAAACGGGGGGGCGGGGGGAGGCCTCAGTGTCCCGGTCTGGCCCAAGCTAGGGACCGGGACTGGGCCGAGGACTGGGGGTTGGGGATTGCTGTACTAATGTATCTTGTATCAGTCCCACTCAGCCTTCCAATGGGGCCTGGAGATTCATTCTCTTCCTGCTCAGCTGGCCACTCAGCAGTCATGCGGTGAGACACGTCCTAACCCCCCGTCTGGAGTGGCCAGCTGAGGAGGAAGAGAGTGGAGCTCTGGGTCCCATTGGAGGGATGAGCAGGACCAGTGCTACAGCAAGACGCATGGGTGGATGGTCCGGTCCTGGGGTAGGATTGACTTAAGCAAATGCAACATACAGTATTTTCCTCATTGTTTTAAAACCCTGAAGTACTTTGGTAAAGCAAATGGCACTCATGTTTCCTGTCCCCATTTTTAATTGCAGTTAAATACTAAGAACAAAATTAAGCCAAAATGCAAAGTGGAAGAGAATGGAAAATCCAGTGTGGTAAGTTTGCCAATATTGTTTCATATTTAAAATTATACTTTACTTTTTGTTATTTTTGGTCAAACTTAAGTGGAAAACTGCCTTTTTAGAGAGATCTCCCTGCTCATTTTTCAAGAATTTGTTTTATTTTTCCTTTGAGTCCCTTTTAGTTTTCCTAAGGAAATTACATTTGGATCAATTAATGAGGGGGTTATTTCCTTAATGAATCTGTCTTTATATATCTGTCTACAATTCTATGATTATTTGATTCTAAGCCCCTAAAAGAGACCATTCGGTCATGGTTCTGTGGGAAGAGTCTTTAGTTAGGATGACTCAGAATCCCCTGAACTTGATGTGGTAGGAATTTCCACATCCTGAATCCCTGGTGGGCCAGAAATCTAAACCTTATTTATTTATTTATTTATTTATTGATTGATTGATTGATTGATTGATTGATTGATTGATTGATTGATTGATTGATTGATTGATTGATTGATTGATTGATTGATTGATTGATTGATTGAATTCATATGCCACCCATCTAGACATAGTCTACTCTGAGAAGAAGATGGCTCAGTAAAAGAAGGAGGCTGTGATTCTGCCAGTCTGTGAGGCCTCCTGCTTTCATCCCTGGCAGAACCAGCAGCCTCAGGCTCTCCCACCAATAACTCAGTCAGCTCCAGGTTGCTGGTAGGAGTGCTTTTAATTGAGTTTGGTGCTTCCAACACCAGTTCGTTGTCACTGCCCTCCCATACATAGCAGGCTGAGTTTCCTGCAGGAATCCCATGGAAACAATCAGGACTGGGCTTGGAGCCTTTCAGTGAGGGTCAGTAGAGGCGGCTGGTGAGCGTTGGCTGTTCACGCCTCAGAGAACCTCCATCTCATCTTGTGTTGGCATTTGCACTGCCAGTGACTCATTTGGGTGGGAGTGGGCAACAAGGACCTATTGGACATCATGGATGCCATGCAGCCGGTGGTGCTGGAGCCTTTTCTGGGGCTGGGGAGCTGGAAGACCCTCTTCCCCAGTCTTGGTGCCTAGTAGAGATGGGCACGAGCCTCTGGGAAGCTGGTTGTTAGTTCTTACTAGGTCATTGTCCCACTCCCAGGCCAGCTGTCCGATTGTGCACAGGATATGATCCAGTTCTTCTGCTGCAAACCTGCAGGTCTCTTTTTCTTCAGTGAGGGCAGATGCCTGGCAAGGGTGCCAGCAGTGACCCACTCATACCAAACCATAAGGGTTCTAAAGGGAAAAGGCACAAGCCTAAGGAGAAGTCCTGGGGTTTTGTACACAATTACGGAGAATGATTCCATGAGAAAAGAAGCCTCTGTGAGAGTAGATGTTCTGCTTGAAGAAAAGCTCTTCCTTCCAGGGACACAAGTGGGCCAAGTGGGAGGAGAGCGTGGTTACACTATAGAAATATATCAAGGGAGGGATTGAAGTTTTTGAAGTGTTTAAATTTAGTTTAAAGTCATGTGGTAGTCTCTCTGTGTGTATTGTTTTGGGAAAACATTCCATCTATTTTTAAACTGTGTTGTATATCAGTTGAGGCTTTTAGAATCATTGCACCTAAGGCGTTATCCTGTGCCTGCCCATCCTCAGACTACTGTAGCTGCCTCTCACTGCCACTCGCCGTCTTAAATTTATTTCAATGTAAGATAGTGCTAGAAGGGAATGAGAGCATACTTTTTGTTTTTATTATGTTTTATGATTGTAAGTTTATTTAGCACTACCTGAGGAGAAACGATGGGGTAAAATATAATAAATAATATACTGTATAATAAAATAATTTGGAAATGTATTTTCTTTATCCTTATAGATGTGAAAACTGATCTGAATTTGCTACTTGAATGTCTGAAATACCAAATGGACAATCCTGCTTCTCAGAAAGAATCCTTGGTTACTATTTATTCCGTTTGTCAACAAAACAGTAAGATATAGAGTACTACAAGTTTAACTGGGTTTCTCTGTGTTTTCCCCCTCTGTTATGTATTATGACAGAAGTAGTGCATTTTTTAAAAGAAAAACTTAATTCTGTCTGTCTTTCCTACAGGTGATGCAAGTGATTATTTTCGAGAAATAGGTGGTTTGCTCTTTGTTCATAACCTTGCAAAGTCAAGTCTGCACAGTATGGTGAAGGAAGCTGCTTTATTTACATTGGGAGGTTTAGCTGAGAATAATGGTAATACACAATTTTTATTCTTATATTTTGTTCTTTAAGGCATCATATTTTGTTTCTGCTTATCAATTTCTGCAAGTATGCGGTTTTAAAATACAGTATATTTAATAATTTATGAAAGTTATTCTATGTCTGGTCATATGAGAATTTCTCCAGCTGAGATAATCTTCATAGCTGATAACTGAAACATAACCCCAGATTGAACTGGGGCTGCGGAAGACAAGCAAAATAAGAGGAACAAGAATTTTTAACAGTTAAGAAAATAATTGATAGTAGGAAATTGTGATTGAATTCACACAATAAAGGAGTTTACTCAGAATTAAACCATACATATGATTTCATAAATGATGTCAAGATATTGTTTAGAATATTTATCAATGACTATTGTGACTTTTTTAATGTGAAAACAACAAGGAATCTTATGGTACCCGAAAAACCCACAACAACCCGAACCTGAAAAACCCACAACAACCAATCTTATGGTACTTCAGAAACTAACAATTTTAATTTGGGATAAGTTTTATAGACTGTAGCCAACTTTTTCAGATGCATTTATGTGAAGTTGGCTTAACACTAGCATGCAACAACAAAAGGGAAATCAAATAAGCTATGTGAGTTGAACCCCAAAATAGAGATGTGTATTAACTGGACCACTAAAATATAAAAAACAGGCAAGCTCTGAAGTCTAATAGAACTTTTTTTAGGCTGGAGATTTTAATAAATCACCAGTCCTTATTTTTTTTATTCAACAGCATGAGAAAATGCTCTTACACTCTGATCTATACATGCCTACTCTGAAGTCATTGGAATTGAATGTGTATATAAGGCCACAATACTAGAGAACCCTAGTGGCTTGCATATGATTAAATATGCATTGGATTATAATCTAATTACATAAAATAAAGAAATAATTGAATTGACCATGCATATTAACATATTAGGTATCATCAAGGATAAGTAAGGGAAGAATTGTCTGATCAAGAAGGTGTCAAGAACAGATGACAAGAATATGTGGCAGAACTGTATGCCACCAGCAAAGAGGGGCAACATCAAACTGAGGAGGAGAAGGAAATAGAACCAGAACCAGTTATACTTGATAGCTGGTCATGTGGGCAATGAACCATCTGCCAAATAACTAAGCCCCAAGGGTCAATAACATCTCTGTATAATTGCTGAGGCCAATACCAATGGCAATGATCAGAATATCGTGCCAGAAAATTTAGGAAACCAACATAGGGTCACAAAACTGGAAACAACCAGTGTTTATTCTGTTACTAAAAAGGGGGAAATTAAAAGGATTGTTCTAACTAGCGCATGTTTGCTCTCATCTCTCACGCTAGTAAGATCTTCCAAAAAATTATAGAACAATGCCTGGCACCAGTCATTGAAATGGAATTGCCAGATGTCCAAGCTGGTTTCCATTGAGGACACCCATGATCACATTGCAAATGTTCTATGAATAATGGAAAAATGTTATTAATATCAAAAGAACATCTACATGTGCTTCATCGATTATAGGAAAGCTTTCAACTGTGTTCACCATGACAAATTATGGAGAGCCCTAGAAGAGTGTCAGTACTTTTGGTGAAGTTGGTGAAATCACTATATAAAAATCAGGAAGCCACTGACTGCACAAACTCAATATGGAGATACTGGTTTAAGATGGAGAAAGGTGTGCAGCAAGGTTGCATCATGCCACTGCTCTTATTCAACTTGTATGCTGATCATCAGAAAGCTGGAGTCAGAAGAATCAAAATTTGGGGGGAAATTGGTGAAAGAAACATCAATAACCTTTGATATGCAGATAATACAACCCTCCTCTCAGAAACCCAGGAAGGTCTAAAGTATCTGATCGTGAAACTCAAAGAAGAAAGCAAGAAGTTTGGCCTGTTTTTGAATATTAAAAAGACCAAACTCATGACAACTGCAAAGAATTGAAACATCAAAACAGTAATTGGTGGAAAGGAGGTTGAATGTGTGGAAGAATTCATCTGTTTAGGTTATTTGGTAAATCAAAACGGCAATTGCAGCCAAGAAATAAAACATCTGTGTCACAGAGCAATGAGTATGAATTAAATATGGAAAAGTAAGGATGTCATCTTGATGACTAAGTGCAGATTAGTTCATACCACCATGTTCTCCATAACTACATATGGCTATGAAAGTTGGATGATGATGAAGATGGACAGAAGGAAAATTGATTCTTTTGAGCTATGGTGTTGAAGCTATGTGTTCTTGCACATTCCATGGACTGCAAAGACAATAAATAAAGAAGTGCTGAAGCACTTAAAGCCAGACATGTCACTGGAAGGCAAAATACCAAAACTTAGACTTAGTTATTTCAGCCATGTCACGCGATCAGTATCATTGGAGAAAGATGTTATGCTAGGAATGGTCATTGGTAAAAGACGAGGATGCCAAATAACATGTTGGTTGGATGCAATCAAAGCAGATACTGACCAAAATATAAAGCAAGTAAAAGAAGCATTACAAGATCAGAAATCATAGAGAGAACTGGCTCAGGAATTGCCAAAGGTCAGATATGACTGAATGGTTAATTTGATTTGATAATTAACACGTCTTTTCAGGAAAGTCATATGCCTGCCTGAACGAAAGCACAGTTTAGCCCATTCTTAAGAAATCTAATTTAACAATGGATGGCTTAAACAACTTCAAACCTGTTGCTAATATCCCCGTTTTGGGCAAGTTAATTGAGAGGCCTGTGGCAGATCAGTTGCAGGTGTCCTTGGAGGAAACCAATTGTCAGGATCTTTTTCAGTCGGGGTTCAGGCTGTGCCATGATACTGAAACTGCACGGGTAGTGCTGCATGATGACCTTTTAAGGGAGACCAACAGGAGAAGTACAACCTTGTTGATTCTCTTGGATCTCTCAGATTTTGATACCATTGACCTCAATATCTTTCTGGATAGACTGTCAGGACTATCAGAATTGGGGATCAGAGATCTCACATTACTCTGGTTCTGGTCCTTTCTTGATGGTCATGGCCAGATGATTCAATTTGGGGATGCTGTTTTGACCCTTTAGGTTATGGGATCCCACAGGGATCGATCATCTCCCCAATGCTTTTTAACATCTATATGAAGCTGCTGGCAGAGGTCATCCAGAGTTCTGGAGTTTGCTGCCATCAATATGCTAGTGACACACAACTCTATCTTAACTTTGCCTCATCTGCAGCAGATGTTGTCCAGGCCCTTGGGGGCTGTCTAGTATGATAAACGGCTGGACTGCAGATAAAAGGTTGAAGCTGAATCCTGACAAGATGGATATCCTGATTTTGGAAGGTTCTCTTGCCTTGCCTGGTTTGGATGGGGTTACACTACTCCTAAAATACCAGGTTTGCAACTTAGGAGTGCTTTTTGCTTCTGCGCTCTTGCTAGAACAACATATATCTGTTGTGGTCAGAGCTGCCTTTTTCCAATTTAGGTGGATTGCTCAGTTGTGCCTTTATCTGGACAGGAAATCCCTGCCAGCACTGGTTCCTACACTGGTAATCTCAAAAAATGGTTACTACAATGCTGTAATGATGCTGTCCTTGAAGATGGTACAGCTGGTACAAAATGCGGCAGCCAGGCTGATTTCTTGGGTAGGTAAACTTGACCATATTGCCGATCCTGGCTCACTTGCATTGGCTGCCTGTTACTTTCTGTACCAAATTCAAGGTTTGGGTTTTCACATATAAAGCCCTGATTGGTTTAGGACTTCTTGGTTTGTGATTCAGTAGGGTGTAGTGAGTAAAATAAAACTACATGAATACAACACCGACATGAGAAACTAGTAACAGAATATGTCAAATTCACATAGTTATTGTTTTTATTGTTATTGTAATTAAGATTAATAGGACTTTTTCCTAGCCAAATTGGTAAAGGTATTGCAGCATTTGTTTAAGATTTTTTTAGTGGGCAGTTTTTATGATATTTGTTTCTCTATTAAATTTTATTCAGTTAATGTTGAACAGTAATTTTGCAACTGCATTTTTTTTCAGTGTTCTGCCAACAGATGTTATGTACTTCTGGACTATTTGAAGACCTTTATATATTCTTAACTGATCAGAATTCCAGTGTGAATTTGAAAAGATTGTCTGTATATGTACTACTAGTGCTGGTTTCAAATAACAGTAAGACTCCATTCCTCTCCATATATATAATTTAAAGTCACCCAAATACTGAAAACTAATTTAAATAACAATTTTTAAATATAATAAGCTGGGTTAGACTTCTTAGGATCAATTAAACTCACAGTTCAATACTTGTAAATCCTGTTCTCTAAATTGTATATAAACAAGTTTGTAACTTTTTCTAAATATGTTCCAAATTGCAGCAGTAAGTAAATCAGTGCCACGTGTCAGACACATAGATTGCACTGCCATAGAATGAATAAATTTTAAAGGCAATTTGGCAAGATCTAATTTTGGAAACAAAGTATGCATTACACATGATTTGGGGTAAAATACAATAAATTTTTGTCCCTCTAAACTGGGTTAGTTAGAAGAAGACTGGAAACAATTAAGTGGCTAGCATCTCATATTTCTGTAAGTATCAGTTCCGTAGGCATCATCTCACTATGATATATAGCAGTCCAGCTGCCATATAGGTCGATGAAAGAGTAAGAACACCAGGACTAATGCATGTGTTTTAAGAGGCAATGCAGGTAAGGGAAAAAGCAGCTCAGCTCTCTTCTCTTCTCCAGAGTCTGCTGCAGTCTGCCAAACCCTTCCAGTGCCTCACTTTATTATCTAAGATACTACAGCAGTTCTCAAGCAATTAACTATGCTCGTTAACATACCATCTGTGAGGCGCATGCGTGATATACCTTTCCAGATAAGGAAGCAAAAAGCTAGCATGTGTGTGTGCGTGCTACATAACTGATACACAGTTTTACTAAAGACAGCAGCAAATGCAAAGTTTAGCAGCAAGTATAGCAAACAGATTCCCACAATGATACATTTCATATATCAGAAACCCTACTGTTACTTCTCTAATGATTGCTACAGAAAAAAAATTCTCCTTGTGAACCAGATCTTATTGGGTGTCTTATTAAACTAGATGGTCCTCTTGGAGAAACAAGTGGGAACTGTGGCCAGGTCAGCATATTATCATTTCTCTTCAGTCTGGAAACGTTGTCCTTTCTTGGAGAAGTCAAGAGTGGTGACATTGATCCATTTAACTGTAACCCTAAGGTTAGATTTTTCTAATCTAATCTATGTGGGGCTCTCTCTGAAGTCAACTCAGAAGCTACAGCTGGTCCAACATGCAACAGCTGGGCTATTGAAAGGCTCCTCATATTGTGATCATATGACACCTATTCTGTGCCAGCTGCATTGGCTGCCAGTGGTTTTCTGAATTCAATTCAAGGTCTTGGTGACCTTTAAAGTCCTACGTGGTATGAGACTTACATACCTACTGGACCACCTCAATCCATGTGTGCCCCTGGGTGAATTTAGGTCACCAGGAATGGATCTTCCAATGGTACCAACAATTAAGCCTGTCAAGCTGAAATATATTAGGAAAATATATTTTTCTTTGCTTTGGAATTCTGTTCCTGGGTCCCTGCAAAGTATGACATCCCTGCAGAGAGTCAGGAGGGGATGAAAAGCAGAATTGTTTTGTTGCGTTTTTGGATGTTAAGAAACTCCTCTTGATGGCTGATGATAATTTATTTATTTAATGTATAAAATAAACAGCAAATGGAAAATGTAACACTGATTCTATACCACTTGCAATTGTTGCCAGTGCATTTCCAAAATTGATTGAAAGTAGCAATTGGAATTCCTAAAGTGTTTTGAGACCAATTTAACCTAAAGACCACTGTTATCTGCACTTTACAATAAGTGACGGAGGCACTGCCCAGATACAGACCAGTGAGCCCAAGAACCGAGGCCTTTCTAGTGGTGGCTCTGTCACTATGAAGCTTTTTTCATAGAGAATAGTGTTTGTGTATATTGTTGATTTATTTGAAATCATCATCATTATCATCACCACCATCTTAAAACTGCAGAGTTGTAAGGGACCCTATTTATCACTGAATCCAGCCCCTGTCAAGGAGGCACAAGAGGGGAATCAGACTCCCAACCTCTGTCACCACAGCCAGAGACCTAAACCACTGAACTATCCAGCAGTAGACTAACTAAGTCTTGATGGTTTCAGTTTGCTTTTAACGGAAACTGCTGTTAGCCAACTAATGGATGGGCTATTGTCAAGTCGGTTTAATGACCGCTGCTACTTTATCTTTAGTATTTAATGTTTTGTTTTCATATTCATGATCTTTGGTTTAGTACTTATTTTTAATTTACAAGCAGATAACAGTTTGTGAATTAAAAACAAACACTAAACCAAGAAGTCTTCAGGATCCAGGCTTTGGGCTTAATTATAAACCATCTCTCCTTAGTTTTACAGATTTGCACAAAAAAAAATATGAGAAAGCCACATTTGGTAGTGTATCTTTTCTTTACAGTATATCATATCAATGCATCCCGTATGTCAAATATTTCAAATATTTCATTTTTAAAAATTATATGTCAGTATATTTTCATTTTATAGAGAGTGGGCAAACAAGTGTCAGAAAATCTGGTTGCCTAGATGTTCTCCTACAATTATTCAGGTAAGGAAACAAAGTTACTGATATCAAAGATATTTTCATACACTTCAATTGCTTTCTCATTATGTTTTATCTCCCCAAAACAGAACAATTCTTTCAGTATCTGAAGTGAATCTTTTGGATCAAAATATTAACCATTATCATCTGTGGTCTTCAGTTTGCAGTACTCTCTGTGCGTGTGTCAATAATCCCCAGAATGGTAACCTTATTTGCTTTCGTTATTTGTCTGCTAGCAAATGTGAGGAAAACACAAGGTTATTTTCAAACACAGTATTAAATATAAATCACTGTTTTCTCATTTACAGAGGACAATCAGAAAATTTGCACTTTGGTTTTTCCACATGCAAAAGACTGGCTACAAAATTGTGTGAAGTCTCAGATAATTCGTCCAATATGCTCATTCATTATGCTCACAGTTGCAAATAATTGTAAGTATCTTACATTGTCAGAATCTTTTGCTTTTCATAGAAGCTTTTACTTTTCTAGTGTGCTTAATCTGCTGCATCTTTTGCACTGAAAAGCAGGATTAGCAACTTTTGTGGCACTTGTGCCTCCACATTTTAGATCGGGGCGGGTAGCTTTAGCACACTAGATGATTTTGGTCCAACACTTTCATTGAGCTTTCCACCAGCACACCAAGATCTTTTTCCTGATCCATCATGGACAGCTCAGAACCCATCAGCTGATCACTAAAGTTTTGATTTTTTTTTTTTGCCCCAATGTGCATTACTTTACTTTTTCTTATAGTGAAACGCATTTGCCATTTTTTGCCCATTCTCCTGGTTTGGAGAGATTCTCCTGGAGCTCTTCACAATCCCTTCTGGATTGCACTTTGTCCAGCAGTGCTACTCCTGTCATCTGAAGATGCTGGCCACAGAGACTGGTGAAATGTTAGGAAGAACAACCTTCAGAACACGGCCAAAGAGCCCAAAAAAACCCACCACAACCATTTGATCCCAGCCATGAAAGCCTTCATGAATACAAAATAAACATTAGTTTATGTCTTTAAATCAATTAGATTTATGAATAAGTTGCCAGTTCATGGATGATACACATTTTTTAAAGTCAGCTTCCTATGTCTAATTTAAAGTGTTAAATAATTTAGGACAAGAAAGAAAGAGCTTAAAGAACATTGGAAAAACAGCAACAGGCAATTCTAACTCCTTGCAGTGCTTCAAGGCTATACATCTCCTGCCCTGGGAGAGTAGGTTGCCCCCTCCTCGTTATTCTTTCACTGGCAGGCAAAGACAAGCTTTTGGGCCTGTCCGAGCTGCAAAGAAAAAGGTTTTTAACTGCACTTTTTTCTTCTTTAAAACTTTTAAATAAGTGTATGTTTATTGTCATTTTTGTTTTTAAAGCATTTTAAATGTAATAATCAATTCTTATTACTATCTGTTAATTAAATGTTTAATTTTTTAGTTTATATTACTCTCTCCTGTCCCAACATTTTGTAACTTTCCTTGGGACACTGAACTGTGGAATAAATAAATAATTAAATAAACATTACAACATATAATAGATGCATAATCCTCATACATTATATAATGTATGTAAACCATTTTAGAGCAGTAGGCAGAGTTCCCCAAAGCAAACAAAGGAAAAACAAAGTGCTCCCACATCAGCTTCTGTGAGGATGATGACTCACAAGGAGAAAGCAAGCATTTAGTTGGAGAGAATCTGGGGGCTTATCAAATCCAATACACACACATGTGCATAAATGCACAAAGAATTATGTTTAATTCCTTTTTTGAATCAGTAGAACTAGCTTTAGGATGCCCTGAAAAACTGAAATGTTATCCCTCCCCGCAGCTCTGGGTAGTCCTTGTATATTCAGGCAAAGATCAGAATTATGTGCTTAGTCTTCTTCCTTGTTATGGCAGGAATCTTTGACACATATCAGAATTCTTAAATGTTTCAGGGTTCAAGTTATAAGTATAGTTGAGATGAAGAGAGCATGTTGCCTTTTCATCAATGTATTTAAGTCAACAGAAGTTGCTTTCTTTGGATCGTTTTTATTTTAACTGCTATTGAAGATAGGTACCAAAATAAGTAATTTTTCAAAACCAAATGTTTTGGACTTTACAGGTTAGAGCTGGTACTTTGAATTGTGCCAGGAAATGGCTCAGCAGCCAATGGAGCTGCTCTAATGGAGGGTTATGTGATCCATGTTTTGACTAAGCCTAAACCTTTTGGATTAAAACACACTATAAACAGTAAGTAACTTTTGTGTTGTTTCCTTTTTCAAGCAAGGATTCAGCAATTTTTTGTTTCTCTTGGTGGACTGGCTGTTTTGGACAATCTTCTTGACAAACTAATACCCAAATCATTTGAAAACTGTTCAAATACAAAACTTGCAGTCATCGTGACAAAAACCTTGGATGCTTGCATCGCTGATAACCGTGAGTGAACAGAACTAAATATATTTCTATATACTAACATCTGCAGTTTTTTTTTTGAAATCACAGATATGCTCAAGTACCACTCAGACTCATATCTCTTTACAAAATAAGAGATTATAGCCACAGCCATTTATTGTTCATACTGCCAGCATCTGCCTTGGTTTCTGACCTTGTATTAATATTGTTACCACAAACTTCATTAAAATGATTTCAAGCTGGGTCAGCGTAAGAGATACTGCAAGAAAGGTTAAGTGAGCTTCAACTTCTCTTTTGCAAAAATCTAAGTGTTCTTCTATGTGAGAAAGTGTGAGCAATTAATTCCTGCTCTCCCCTGCATTCCCCTCCCCATAAGCTCTAAAAACCTGGTCTAGGATCTTTGGAAACCCTATGAAATAGGTTTTTAATTCTGTAACTACAAAGGAAATTGCGAGAGAAGGCCCAAGACTACTGTAAACATAACATTGGGGGTTACTCCTTTCTCTAGTGCACTTCTGCTCCCCACATGTAATGTTTTATCAATCTTGTGCTTAGTTGCAGTCAAAACAAATATTATAGTGAGTCTGTCATCAGAAGCAAAATTCTCTTAGAAGTTAAATTTGTTTGTTTTATCTTACGAAAATGTCCAACTCCAGAGAATCTGAAGGTAGCATCTATGAAGCTGCTTCTGATCTCAAGCAGCTTCAAGAGAAGCTTGAGATAACTGGAAACACAAATGCAGCATAGTTTTTTTAAAAGTTTTGAGTTATTTTTCACTGTAATTTGTGTTTAATGTGCATATTTCTCTTTTTTGTGTGTCAATAGCTGTAGTTGGAGTTTCCTTGCCAAAGTATAATATTGTGCCAAAATTATTGACACTTCTTTCTCACAACTTTCTGGATTCAGGAGATCGATTTAGTCTTATTCTTACTCTTGGACATTGTACAGATAACTGTGGTAGGATTCTGTTTTATTTTAATAAAATGTTGTCATTTTTAAACATTTAAGAGATATAGGTTGCATTAGATTCCTATGCATAATTATTCTCTCTACCTAATCATTAACCATGAATGATCAAAACCAAGCTTCCTTCTAAGGTGCATGCCTGTACATGCATGTGCACGACTCTAACAGCCCTCCCCCGACTTCTTCATCCTCACTTCACCGACAACAATTATTTTCAGCTCCTTCCACAATGGAAGCCTGCACTGGGAGGGGATATCATGCATGGGTGAAGTCTCATGCATGAGGGGTAGAGCCCTGGCCAGCAGGACTGAAAATTAGAGGGAGCATTGATCAAAACTGCTTGCACTAGAATTTCAGTGTACAACTATCCTATCTAATTGTAGATGACTACAACTGATGTTATATTAGCATTCCACAATACATATGTATTATGTATATATATAAATTATGTATATGTGTTGTCCTTGGTCCCCTCACAACCCTTCCTTGCCACACTTTTTTTCACATCACAAAGAACTGCCCCTGTGATACCACAAGGAGCCATTCCCTTATCTTGGGTTGCAGCCCTGAAATTTCAGGGAATGAGATGCTACTGATCTGGCAATTCTAATATGTAAAATATGTAAGTAAATTATCACATGGCTGCCTTACCTTATTTCTGCCTTTTGTTTCTGAACTGCAGTACTCAACTTGTGCAGGGGTCACATTTAGAAGGAATAATTGAAAGCTTACTGGGCAGTTTGTTAACTTTTTTTAATGGCTGGGTCTACTATTAAGCTGCTGCTTCAGGCAGCTGGTTTTGGGCATTAGCAAGAATAGCTACTGATTAACAGTTTAATTGGTTAATAGTGTAATAATTATTATCTTAATTAATAAATGATAAAGAGAAAACTGCCGTAATCTAGCAGCTTCTAGAAAGTATTGATAAACAACTGCCAAATGATAAATTGGAGTTGCTAGGAGAAGCAATGTATGAAGTGTTCCTTAAGTGCTGAAGTTTTACACTGAAATGCGCAACATCCTCAAATTTATTGGGAGGATGGAGGGTTGCAATGAAATTGATATAAATGAAGTCATAAGGGAACATGTTACTGTTTGTATGCAGATAACTCAGAAATGATTGTAGAGAAAATTCAAAATTATTGCATTTAATTGCATACCTATTGCCTTTTCTTCTTATGTTATTGCAAAGTACTGTTAATTAACTGTACAGTTTGGATAAATACATTTTACTGGGTTGAATGCAATCTTTTTAGAGGACAATCAGTACACTCTGGTGAAGAACAATGGTCTCCCAGTTATGATTCAAGCACTAACTGAATCACAGGATGAAGAACTCTGCAAAGCTGCTATCTTTGTGTTGCAAAACTGCAAACCAACCAGTAAGAATATGATTATAATGATTACTTTTTAAAAAATATTTCAAGGACAAGTTTCTAAATAGTCCCATGCCTAGTTATCTGTGACGAGTAAGATTTGCATTTAGGTCTTGGAAGGCTTTGTAAATTATAAATCAGTTTTTCTTCTCTCTATCTTTGTGCATCTCTTAGGCTACTAATAGTCTTTTAGGCCTTATAGTTTAGCATCAATAGATACTGTTGTTAGGCATCCTTCAGTCTCGAAAGACTATAGTAATGTGCCCTGTATGGAGGACTTGGAACAGCATCTAGTGTGGCTGAGGAGGCCAATTCGAGAGTGACAATCTCTTCCACACTGAAAACAAATCCAATCTGTCCCCTGTTGAGCTCCCTGGTTTTGCTGCTTTTGTGACTTCCTCTTTGCCTCGGCCTGCTGGACAAGGTTCTCTTCAAATTGGGAGAGGCCGTGATGCAATGCCTGCCTCCAGGCTGAACGCTCAGATGTCAGAGTTTCCCATCTGTTGAGGTCTATTCCTAAGGCCTTCAGATCCCGCTTGCAGATATCCTTGTATCGCAGCTGTGGTCTCCCTCTGGGGCGATTTCCCTGTACTACTTCTCCATACAGGAGATCCTTTGGAATCCAACGATCAGCCATTCTCAAGACATGCCCAAGCCAACATAGACGTCACCGTTTCAGTAATGTATACATGCTGAAAATTCCAGCTCGCTCTAGGACTACTCTATATGGAACTTTGTCCTGCTAGGTGATACCAAAAATCCATCGGAGGCAACACATATGGAAGGTGTTCAACTACATTATAAAGGGTATATAAACCAAATTATAACAGCACAAAAACAACTTATCTGGAAAAAGTATGAGTAACTTTGTATTTAAATCCTCAGTAGCAATAAAATGTACACAAAGGGATACTAATCCATTCTGAATAGGTAAGACAAATTCACCTTTGAAGACTTGAACAAACAGACTTTGACTGAAGAAATATTCTGTTTTAGATGGTTAAGTAGTTTCATGCATCAATAATGAGTTAGGCATTTTGCTTTTCAGATCATATACTGTTTCAGTATACCCAGTATTCTGACATCTGTTATTCACACACTTCATTGCATTTTAATTGGAGAATAGCTTTGGTGAATTGTATTAATAAATGGAACATTTAAATATTGTACTGTGTGGTGTTAGTGAATTAAAGTGGACTGGAATGAGACACTTACAGTCAGACATCTACACCATGTTTTACTCTGAAAATTGCATACTCGGCAGAAATGGAGTGGCTGTAATATGGAGGCAAGACATAGGACAGACAGTTAGAGGCTATAATGCAAGCTGTGACTGGATAATATCAATCAGACATCTGGGAAAATCCATCAACATAATCATCATTCAAGTCTAAGATCCTTCAGCATATGCTGAAGAAGATGAAATGGAAAGTTTTTATTCAATCATCCACGAGGAAAGTAACCACACACCAAAACAAGACATGACTGGAACACAACAGTAGAAAACAAAAACAGAACTGAATTTTGTTAGAATATTTGGTCTAGGGGACATAACAGAACCAGGAGAACAACTTGTAGAGTTCTACGAAGCCAACAATTTATTGTTGCAAATACATGCTTCAAGCAAACAAAAAGACAACTGTAATAGTAGACATCACCATAAATCAATTAGACTATGTAATTGGGATCAGGAGACAAAAAAGCTGTATTATCTTTCCAAAACAAGACCAGGAGCACATTGTGGTACTGATCATGAACACTTACCATAATATGAAATGTTAGAATGAAGCTGAAGAAGCGCACTAAAATAATCTAAGTGCCGAAACATAATTTAAACAATATTTCTGATTAATCTAACTCCATATAAAGAACAGATCTGCATTAGTAAGCGAAATTGATTCTGAACTGGAACTGTGAATTGAAACCAGAGATACTATTAGGTGAGAATGCAAAAATACAATGCTTGTAGTAAAAAGAGAAAAAACTCCTAAATAGATGATAGAAGAAAAACTTAATATTGTTAAGGACAGATGAAAAAAAGTAAAAGGTGACAGATCAGAATCCCGAATGCAGCTTTTCAGCAACTGTAGCATAGAGACAAAGAGTACTGTTACAATAGCCAGCGCAAAGAAATAAACGAAACAGTGAAAGAGAAGAAACAAGATATCTCTTCCAGAAGATCCAAGAAAAGGAAATTTAAACTTAAATTAAAAATGCTGAAAGACCAACAGAGAAGCACTCTATCTGGGATAAAATACAAAAAACCTAAAAATAGCATACTATAGACCAGTGGTTCTTAACCTTTGTTACGCGGATGTTTTTGAACTACAACTCCCAGAAACCCCAGCCAGCACAGTTGGTGGTGAAGGCTTCTGGGAGTTGCAGTCCAAAACTCCTGAGTAACCCAAGGTTAAGAACCAGTGCTATAGACCTATACAGAAGAGATGAAAGGATGACAGATTCCATTGAAGAGGAATGCTATAATGAAGAACTTGCAATTCTAAAAAGTAAAGTGAAAGTTGTTCCGGAAGTACTGGGAAAAAATAAACCACAAGTGATAGATAAGATACCAATAAAACTACAGTATTTCAAGCCACAGAGACCAAATCTGTCAAAATCCTAATAAGACTGTCAACAAATATGGAAAACAGAACAATGGCCCACAGACTGGAATTATTCAATATACATTCCAGTCCCTAAGAAAGGAGTTACCAAGGAATGCTGTAACTATGAGACCATTGCTTTAATTTCCCACACAAGCAAAGTGATGCTCGGTATGGCAACAAATGCTTTTACCTTATATAGGTCCAGAAAGATCACCAAGAGTAAGGATGTGTCACTGGAGACAAAGGCCAAGATAATCCAGACTCTTGTATTCCTGATCACTATGTACAGGTTTCAAACAGGACACAGGAGAAGATTGACAGGAAAAAAAATACATTTGAAATATGATATTGGAGAAGTTACTTTTGGATACCCTGGACCAGCGATGGCGAACCTATGGCATACATGCCATGGCTGGCACACAGAGCCCTTTCTACGGGCACATGAGCCATAAGTCACCAGATTGCTACTCTCCCCCCCCCCCCCCCCGCCAAACCCCAGGAGGCACCTGCA